TGGTAGCTGCTGAATGTGATGTATTGAAAAGCTGTTCTTAATAGATCGATTTGGTCATTACTGATGTATACCTTGTCCTAAAGTGCCACATACAGTTATAGCATAGGTATCAAACTCATAATACTATAATGTGTATGAAATAATTCAGGTATGATATTTTAGATATAGAGGTAGAGTATCTGCCTCCATATATTATGTATCCTATTACCTGGTACACGTAGAAGGGAAGATAACAGGGAGATAATCAATTAGCGTCACAATCTGGATAATTAGTTAGGGTCAAAATCTGGAAAATCAGTTAGAGTCAAAATCTGGAAAATTAGTTAGAGTCAAAATCTGGAAAATCAGTTAGAGTCAAAATCGGGATAATTAGTTAGAGTCAAAATCTGGAAAATCAGTTAAAGTCAAAATCGGGATAATTAGTTAGAGTCAAAATCTGGGAAATCAGTTAGAGTCAAAATCTGGAAAATCAGTTAGAGTCAAAATCTGGATAATTAGAGTCAAAATCTGGATAATTAGTTAGCGTCAAAATCTGGAAAATTAGTTAGCGTCAAAATCTGGATAATTAGTTAGAGTCAAAATCTGGAAAATCAGTTAGAGTCAAAATCGGGAAAATCAGTTAGAGTCAAAATCTGGAAAATCAGTTAAAGTCCAAATCTGGAAAATCAGTTAGAGTCAAAATCTGGAAAATCAGTTAGAATCAAAATCTGGAAAATCAGTTAAAGTCAAAATCGGGATAATTAGTTAGAGTCAAAATCTGGAAAATCAGTTAGAGTCAAAATCGGGATAATTAGTTAGAGTCAAAATCTGGAAAATCAGTTAGAGTCAAAATCTGGAAAATCAGTTAGAATCAAAATCTGGAAAATCAGTTAAAGTCAAAATCGGGATAATTAGTTAGAGTCAAAATCTGGAAAATCAGTTAGAGTCAAAATCTGGAAAATCAGTTAGAGTCAAAATCGGGATAATTAGTTAGAGTCAAAATCTGGAAAATCAGTTAGAGTCAAAATCGGGATAATTAGTTAGAGTCAAAATCGGGAAAATAAGTTAAAGTCAAAATCTGGAAAATCAGTTAGAGTCAAAATCGGGATAATTAGTTAGAGTCAAAATCTGGAAAATCAGTTAAAGTCAAAATCGGGATAATTAGTTAGAGTCAAAATCTGGGAAATCAGTTAGAGTCAAAATCTGGAAAATCAGTTAGAGTCAAAATCTGGATAATTAGAGTCAAAATCTGGATAATTAGTTAGCGTCAAAATCTGGAAAATTAGTTAGCGTCAAAATCTGGAAAATCAGTTAGAGTCAAAATCGGGAAAATCAGTTAGAGTCAAAATCTGGAAAATCAGTTAAAGTCAAAATCTGGAAAATCAGTTAGAGTCAAAATCTGGAAAATCAGTTAGAATCAAAATCTGGAAAATCAGTTAAAGTCAAAATCGGGATAATTAGTTAGAGTCAAAATCTGGAAAATCAGTTAGAGTCAAAATCTGGAAAATCAGTTAAAGTCAAAATCTGGAAAATCAGTTAGAGTCAAAATCTGGAAAATCAGTTAGAATCAAAATCTGGAAAATCAGTTAAAGTCAAAATCGGGATAATTAGTTAGAGTCAAAATCGGGATAATTAGTTAGAGTCAAAATCTGGAAAATCAGTTAAAGTCAAAATCGGGATAATTAGTTAGAGTCAAAATCTGGGAAATCAGTTAGAGTCAAAATCTGGAAAATCAGTTAGAGTCAAAATCTGGATAATTAGAGTCAAAATCTGGATAATTAGTTAGCGTCAAAATCTGGAAAATTAGTTAGCGTCAAAATCTGGAAAATCAGTTAGAGTCAAAATCGGGAAAATCAGTTAGAGTCAAAATCTGGAAAATCAGTTAAAGTCAAAATCTGGAAAATCAGTTAGAGTCAAAATCTGGAAAATCAGTTAGAATCAAAATCTGGAAAATCAGTCAAAATCGGGATAATTAGTTAGAGTCAAAATCTGGAAAATCAGTTAGAGTCAAAATCTGGAAAATCAGTTAGAGTCAAAATCTGGAAAATCAGTTAGAATCAAAATCTGGAAAATCAGTTAAAGTCAAAATCGGGATAATTAGTTAGAGTCAAAATCTGGAAAATCAGTTAGAGTCAAAATCGGGATAATTAGTTAGAGTCAAAATCTGGAAAATCAGTTAGAGTCAAAATCTGGAAAATCAGTTAGAGTCAAAATCGGGATAATTAGTTAAAGTCAAAATCTGGAAAATCAGTTAGAGTCAAAATCTGGATAATTAGTTAGAGTCAAAAGAAATCAGTTAGAGTCAAAATCTGGAAAATCAGTTAGAGTCAAAATCTGGAAAATTAGAGTTAATTAAGCGTCAAAATCTGGAAAATTAGTTAAAGTCAAAATCTGGAAAATCAGTTAGAGTCAAAATCGGGAAAATCAGTTAGGTCAAAATCTGGAAAATCAGTTAAAGTCAAAATCTGGAAAATCAGAGTCAAAATCTGGAAAATAGTTAGAGTCAAAATCAGTTAGAATCAAAATCTGGAAAATCAGTTAAAGTCAAAATCGGGATAAATTCAAAAGTTAGTTAGAGTCAAAATCTGGAAAATCAGTTAGAGTCAAAATCGGGATAATTAGTTAGAGTCAAAATCGGGAAAATAAGTTAAAGTCAAAATCTGGAAAATCAGTTAGAGTCAAAATCTGGAAAATCAGTTAGAGTCAAAATCGGGATAATTAGTTAGAGTCAAAATCGGGAAAATCAGTTAGAGTCAAAATCTGGAAAATTAGTTAGAATCAAAATCTGGAAAATCAGTTAGAGTCAAAATCTGGATAATTAGTTAGAGTCAAAATCTGGATAATTAGAGTCAAAACCTGGATAATTAGTTAGAGTCAAAATCTGGAAAATCAGTTAGAGTCAAAATCTGGAAAATCAGTTAGAGTCAAAATCTGGAAAATCAGTTAGAGTCAAAATCGGGATAATTAGTTAGAATCAATATCTGGAAAATTAGTTAGAGTCAAAATCGGGATAATTAGTTAGAGTCAATATCTGGATAATTAGTTAGAGTCAAAATCTGGTAAATATGTTAGAGTCAAAATCTTGTATGGGTATAATCTGTAATATTAAAGAAAGCCTTATATTGAAATCTTAAGCCGTTTTTAAAGATTAAGTACATGTATTAATACGATGTAAAGATGAAAGTTAATGACCACATTATCTTACCAAGATATTTCACTGTTGCTTTCAGATTCGGAAAAAGAAAGGAAGTGTTTCTTTGAGAATTACGTCTTGATTTAGCCACAGTGACAGCAGAGATGTCTCCTGGCTGTGACACGTGTATCTAAGTTATGGAGCCCATCCTCAGCTTGTTACAAAGTGACAGGATTGACTTCTAAACGACATCCGACGATCACATGGCTCAGTTCTTTATCCTTGAAAACTAAATTTTAACACTTTTGTATCTGCACCAAATGGTACGTGTTACATGTCTGAGTTAGGTATATATATATTTGTTTCGGGGTTCTTTTACTGGTAATGGTCAACTGGCATAGAAACATTCCAATGCATGTCATAAATTTAATCCTTCATCAAATCTTGTTAAACTGAAATTAGGCTATATATATATAGGTATCTCTTAAATATACACGTATGGAAATTATTCCAGTGACATATCCTTTTCAAAAAATAAACAAAACACTTCACATCAAAATAAACAAATATTCAACATCAACAGAATATAAAGTTATGTTTAATCTTAATCGTGCAAAAATTTAAAGATTTTATTTGTCGGAATATTTGTTCAAATTGATAGTGAATGTTTTCGTCGATACAAAATTGAAACACTTAAAAATTTTCTACACGAAAGTGATTTTTTTCCGAGTTAATCATGTAATAACTGATTCTTTGGTTATGGTTTAAAATCCCCGGAAGGGTTAGAAAAATACCCGTCATACGAACGTATGATTTGTGATAGGAACATTTATGATATGTTGTCCCATTTCAGATGACCTTGCAGAGAAACTTAGATGCTTTGTACAATAAATCAGTTATAATAAACAACAGTTAAATAAACAGTTACATATTGTTACTTTTATATAAACAGCGTGAATTCCTGCATAGTTCGTTCGCAAGGCTTGACGGGCACTTATTCTGTAAAAAAATATCAATTTGAGTATCAATTTTGGTAGCGTCACGTTCACTCTGAGAGATCAGAATGGGTACGGTAAGCAGTACTTCAGGTAGGAGGCATCTCTTACATCGAGTTTCGGAAACTGCTCTGTATGTCGGATGGTCCCGACTCTATGTGTACATTATGTGCTGATACTCAAGGTTTTCATCACACCCTGTAGTGTACATATCTGTGGGTTTTTTTGGGTTTTTTTTACAGTGCTTTGTGGTGTGTGGGTTTTATTTTGCTTTTTTCACCGCTTTGTCAAGGATGTTGCCTTTTCTACTTGATTATTCAAATTGCGTTCATTTCTGGTTTTCTGGCAATTTTTACCGTTTGTTATAGCATGTGTGTACATCACACTATCTCAAATATTTTTACTTCATATTTAGCAATACTGCATCCACGTCTTGCTCAGTGTTCATTAAAATTGCTAATCTGTAATACGTTGCTGTAACTGTGATAAATTTTCACCATTATCTACTGTGGTTTTAAGTGTTATGTCAGCATGTTTGTGTCGTTGTCGTCGTTACATAAATCTTTCGAGCTTACATTCACTTTTGCCATACATCTAGAATTTTATGTTGCATAAATTCTGTTCCCTTTCCTTCCTAGCGCACGTGATATAATCTTCCTTATGATGAAATTTGTCATTAACCAGTAAAAGTAGGAATACTATTTCCCCCACACTCACCAATATGGTGTCATATCGGACAATACGGGCATTTAACAAATATACAGTTTGACCCATACCAAAAAAACTGTGTGCTTAGCGAGTGTAAGGAACGACGACTCGTGGTAGGAAACTTTATTGTCTCCCTTGAGTCACACTCTTTTGCGTAAATTACAAAAAACGTTTTATCGTGTTTTGGGGGCTTTGTCAAGAAGGTAAGTCAAGAAAATTGATGTATGATTTCAGATATCCTACATATTTGATTCATACATTAGGCATGTGTCATATGTACTAAATAACTGAGGCAGAGTTTGGTTACAAATATTCCGATCAGTAAATGATTTTGGTTTCACACAAACAGCCGGTACTGGCGGTAGTGATCCGGAGACTTGTTAGATTTACGTGTATTACAATCGTTCGGCAGTGTAAATTATTTTGTTTTTGTTTATTTTTATTTTCCTTTCTTTCTGATTATATAGCGTATTTCCAAAATTTTCACTTACTCGATTACAAAGAGTTATTGTGGGTTCTTAAGATCTGATTGAATCCTACAGAAAAAGTATAAGGTCAGGACTCAAAATTTGAATCCCAAAAATCATAGCAAAAAATAGACTAACTGTATATCAGCAAACAACTCGATGGGACTGATGCAGATAATTTCCAGGCAATCGGAATATATAATGAACATATGAATTGGGGGTACAACGATGAAAAATATACAGTATACGGTCGTTAATGTTCATCACAATATTACTATGCCAAATAATATCAGTTGTCCAACTAGTTTATCCTTTTCAGATTTCTTGCTAACAACAATGGATTCCAAAACGTCATATTAAGTATTTTCAAGAATTCTTTAAATCCCATCCAAATTGTATGAGTACAGGATTAGGAACTCGCACCTAGATTTATCAGTGGGCTATACCAGTGTATTTCAGATTTACGTACTTAAATCTCAACAAATAAATCGTGGGAAACAATGGTTCATGGTGGATCCATTCACAAGGGCTTGTACAGAGGAGTTACTTATTTAATGGCTACAAAGGAGTGGACAGAATAAATATATATTCAGGATGTTCTATTAATAATCGCTTATATTTAGCAATTTCAGAAGTCAACTCATAAATATGAAGGGTCTATCAGACATAAATCCAACAATTTAAACTCGAGTCATAAGCATCGTCTCAAAGCCAGGGTCTGTCATCTCAATTGTATTCTTACAATAACAATTCTAATTACATCAGCAATTTGATAGCATTATATCAAAAACATACAACACAGTTTAATGAAATAAGTATATTAGGTTATTACTGCATCCTTTTTACTCCTTTCTAATATGACAGTTTTATTAATGGATACATTCTTCATATAACCTCAGAGTGAGGATTATTACTTAACAAAATGACAAGATGTTTACATTTTCTGGCATATTTACTTCCATTTTATTGACATGTTTTTTTAACATTTTCTTTTAAAGGATATTTATAGAAAATGTACATTTCATTTTAATAAAATTACATTTCTTCAGGATCTTAATTGTAATGGCATGTCACTTATTTGACCACAGACTAGTTTCAAGTCATTTGGCAGAGTCTTAACTAAATATATAGTTGTCTTGTATCAACATCATGAATGTTACATAAGTATGGTGCCAATTGAAATTACTGTTTTTATTTCTTATACATATGGAACAGAGTTCTAAGCTAATTACCTTATTTTTATATATAAATGTATATTCTGTAGATCCCCAATCATATTTTCACACATTTTGTATCAATGTAACTGGATATGTATTTTCTGTCTTCACATTCATAGCCTCATAGATAATTAATAAAACACATTTAGACCAACCATTTTACTGTTGAGAACATTCTAAAAATAGATCTACTCGGTCATGATCACCTGTTCCTGATTTTTCTGAGGTTTTCCATGTCTTATAGTTTAGTGCATCCTAGGATCTTGTATTTAAAGTAAAGGGGTTCCTAACCTGCATATAACATCATGACAAGATTGGGGGAACTTTTTGTATTCAAAGCAAATAAATGTGTTTTACAGAAAATTATTAATGTTTTTTAAACATTTCAATAGGGCTATGTCTGATGTTGAAGACGACAGTAGCCCGTATGAGCAGGGTGAACTGGCCCCAAGTCCAGATTACAGAGAGCAGGATGATGACCCTGATAGTCAGCTGTCCCTATCACCACAATCTCGTGAGGCTTTAGATGATGACGAAGATGACGATGAAGATGTTGCACATACCAGCAAAGACAAGTAGGTATCTGTACATGTGTAAAGTGACCAAATTTTCAGTCCATCAACAGATAGGAACATTAAAGTAGTTAGCCATCTATGTAGATTTGTAGTTACTTTACATGTACTTTCATTCCGAAATTATTGACAATATCCTCCTTTTTTTTTGTCAAAAATGAAAGGTCAGGATCAATCTATCTTTTTCTCAGACAACTTAGTGAGGTTCTCCATTTGAAGTCCTATTAGAGTACATGTATTTTGAATTTTTATGAAGATGGCTGACTTGAATTCTGACAGTAAACATAAGCCAAACTGACAACTATCAATGTTATAGAGCTATTTCATTTTGTGCTGGGCCCAATCTAGGTTCATTTTGTGCTGGGCCCAATCTAGGTGCATTTTGTTTCCGTTGATGGGTAGTTTCTGCTCCTCAGAAATAAACAAATATTCCCCATTTTCTAAATAAAATTTCCCTTCTCCTCACTGATAAATTTTCCAGATTACTTAGGAGAATTTTATTCTTTATACTCTGTTGAATTGAATGTTGAATTGTTCTGATCTTTCTAGACCAACCCTTGGTTAGATTTTTTGGTCTCTTAAAATTTTCTGAGCCCTGTTCAAAAGGTGTAGGTGACACTTAAAATTTGTGATATATATACATGAATTCTTCCACTGAAAGCTGGCTGATTAAATTATCTGTTTGCATGTTTTTCTTTCAACAATCTACTGTTAGGAAACAACAGGTTGGATGTAAATTTTGGTATTATCAGAAATTGTATTTGTCTAATCAAGTACATCCAAATCACAGATAAATAATTGAATTTTGTAGTAGAATTGAAGATGAGGTTGGACTAGACATAAAACCCCCACAAATACAGGCTGGACGAAAAGAACGGAAACACAAACATAAAGATGAGCGCCGTCGTGACAAAGAAAGACATACACAGTCAAGAGACAAGAGCGATCGACAGCCAAGAGACAAAGATCGTAAGTGACCCTTTTTTCATCTTCCAGAACTTCAACTTTGTACATGTAATGAAATTTTGATATGAAAGATTATGGGTAATAGAATCCTTCACTTCCTACAGATGTGAACAGAGATATCCCAACACCAGGGCAATATGTCTACTGTTGTAGTATGAGTCTTTGCCATGTGATTTATTCTAAAAGTATTATCCTGGGGGTTAGGATATCTCTGTCTACATCACATAGAGGTGATTGATGGCTTTTATCAAACACTATCTGATTGTAAAACTTTGGAAATTGATATGAAATGCATATATCATGCCATCATTAATAATCCATGAAGTGTGTGTGTGTTGAGATTTAAGATGTTATATGATGGTAGCGTGATTACAAATAGTGGTCTTTTCAAAATTTTGATGTAAAAAATCTATGTTGCTGAGATAAGCTGAACCACACAGATGAGAGGCTAGATTTTCTAATGATATTTGATAACTCATTACAAAACAATATTTGTACTTACAGGGTCTTCACGCAGTGGCCACGGTTACGGTCGGGAGTCTCAACGATCCAGGAAGCAAGATGTGAGGGAACGAGAACCTAGAGATGTCCGGGATAATTACCGTGAAACAAAGGAGAGGGAACGAGATCGCCGTGCCAAGGAGGAAGAGAAGAGGGAAAAATCTCGTATGGAGAGGTAATTGTTTCATCAAAATTGGAGGGATGTACTGGAATCACCCTGTCTCTGTGTTTATTTCTGTCTTTCTCAACGTAGATGTGCATGTGACTTTTGCACCGCTCATCTCTTATTTTACCCTATCTCAGTGTTTCTGTCTTTCTCGACGTAGATGTGCATGTGACTTTTGCACCGCTCATCTCTTATTTTACTCTATCTCTGTGTTTCTGTCTTTCTCGACGTAGATGTGCATGTGACCTTTATTTTCTTTTCATCTCTTATTAAAACTTTTTGCAGAGAACGACTAGAAAGAATAGAGCGAGAAAAGGAAAGGGAGAGAAGGATGAGAGAAACACGGGAGATAGAAAGAAGAAAACGCAGAGAGGAGGAACGAGAAAAAGCAAGGGCAGAAGGTATGCATTCTTATATCAAAAGGATTTTTCTTTAATGCAGGTTTATTAGTTTATTCTGACATCCCTGTCAATGAGTTTTCTCCAGGAAAAAGAAATCACCCAATGATTTCTGCTCTTTCTCATGCCCAGGGAAAAAATCAGTCACACATTTGATATTTACATCTCTGGAATAGTTATTATCTAACATAAATGCTTTCAAATGCAAACAGTATTCATTCATGAGTCATATATATAGATTTAAATATGTCGGCCCACAAGTGATGCAGGTCACAAATAATAGCTTCTTGCCTACATCACCTCATAATAATCTAATGCTAACAGAGTTGTCTAGAGTCAGACGAAAGCTTGTCTTGTTTTCAGGTACCTATAGGATTAAAGAATCAATTAGATTTTAACTCCTCAGTTTAAAAATATTGTTTTGAAATTATTTTTTAAAGCTCTATATAGGCGAGAGAAAGAAAAGAAAACAGCCAAACAGTCCCGAGCAAGGAGTCGAAGTCGAGAAAGACAGTTTGCTATTGACTCGCACAGAGACAAAAAATCCCGCCATCGTGTAAAATCTCCAGAACCAGGTAAAATTATTAAAATGGATTCAGGGGGAGTTGCAACTTTGGGAATATTGTTTAGAACAATAAAGTAAAAGGAGAAACTAGAATGGAATGTAGTGGGTGCAGAAAGAAATTCTTTAATGGCCATGTTCTGATATTTACTTGTATTTTGTGTCAATAGCATTTATAGTTATGGTGTTAGATAGAAAGAGGTAATGCAGCGTATACGAATCCAAATTCTTGTAATGTTGGAAAGGTAATTATAATGTTGAATAGTAGTTCTTAAAATAAAGAATTTTAAAAGAAGTAATGCTTAACCAATTTTTCTTGTAATGAAGTGAAAACTTTTTATGATGTATAAATTTAGAACGTTCAAGGCCTCGTGGTCCACACACACCTGAAGAAGATTACCCACATGTAGTGGAGGAGTCAGAAGAAGAGGAGGAGGAAGAAGAGGAGGAAGAGGAAGATCATGTGTCACATGAGGAGCATGCTGAGGCCAGTGATATCCACAGTGGGGAATCTGATGTGTCAGTCGAGGAGGAGGATAGTGATTCGGATTCTGAGTCAGGTAGAAGCTTTAAAGGGCCAAATAAAAAATGTAGTTAGTAAGTTATGACTATGAATACAGAAAAAATACATTATTCCAAATGAGGTTCTTTTTTATCATAAGGGTTATGAAAAAAAATTACCAAAAATAGAACTGTGAATTTCGATTTTAATGATATTAGTATTCTGTTTTATCCCCTGTAACGATGTTAGAAATCTTATTTCACAACTACTTGTCAACTGTCAGTTTGATGATTTTTGGAGAAGAATTTAGAAGTCTCAAATTTTGCATTTTGTAGCTTTTTAAATTTCACTTCTATCAAAATACTTAATTCACAATTTTTGTTACATATATTTCAAGGAAGAAATCAAGGGTAAAGGATAGAGAAGTGGTTTTGTAAAATTCAGACAACAAACTCTGAATTTTCCCAAAAAATTTATAGCGGAAGGAAGGTCATTCTTCCATTGCTTCCCATAAAATTTAACCTGATTTAATCTGAAAAGGTTTTGATTTCCTTCAGGAAGTGGCAGTAACTCTAACATTGGAAGTGACGACAGCCACCAAAAACACAGTGACATGGAAGAAGATTCACACCATCAGGATCCTTCTAATGGTTCGAGAGTTATCTCCCTTTGACATTTCTGATAGATGTATTTTGATTACAATGGTTAGAATGGTCAGATCAATGTATGCCAATTAGATGTGAACTATGAATAATGTCAAACTTTGTAAAAATAATCTTCTTGATCCTATTCTCAGACTACATTAGGCAAAAGCTTAAAAACTGACTGTTAGAATCCACTTTTATCTCACTATCATCAAATACATTTTCATGAACCAAGGGTGTTCAATACGATACTCTTCATATATAAATTATTGTGACACCTAGAAGATCTTGGATACATCAGATGCAGACCTAGTTTTTCTTTCACCTGATGTTTAGTTTGACAAATATTTTCACCAAATTAATATCTATGTTTCTTCATCACCAATACAACTGTGCATTTGAATACTTTTATCAAGTCAACATACTTCTGAAATGATTAAAAAAGATTTTTTATGATGGCTGTTATATTTTGTGTATACTATATATGTGTACATACAAAATAACACCAAAATCACAATAACAGAGTATTATGGGTATTTAAGTGCATAGATAAATCATTTCAGAGTAGTGGGAAAGGATTTTTCACAAAAATACTATATGAATATTGAAATAGATTTTTTTACATGTGACTTGCCTGACAGATTGTATTAAATAGTACAGTAATTGGTTGAATAGCTTTAACAGGACTTAAGTTCATCCTTTATATTATGGCATATGGAAAATTTCTTCATTCTTTTTTCATTTTGTTATAGAAAATTTAAGGTCGATATTTGATGATGACGATGAAGAAGAATCAGAGCCAGAAAGTGCAGCCTCTTCAATGCAAGTGTCAGAACATCAGGACGAACGAATGTACCTACAGGATACACCTCCACAGTCTCCTGTAGAACTGGCACCAGATCTTCCACCATACCTCCCAGCAATACAGGGATGTCGTAATGTTGAAGAGTTTCACTGTCTCAATCGCATTGAAGAAGGAACTTACGGTGTTGTGTATAGAGCACGTGACAAAAAAACAGGTTATACAATCATTTAAAAGTTACAGTATCAACCCTAAAGACAATAATATCCCTTGTGTAGTAGTAAAACTTTCTGAATACAATTTCAATTTAATTTTCCAAAATCAATTTTATTTTGATCATGAGATATAAATTGATAAAGCAGAAAGTTTGATATTAAAGGATAAGTGTCAATATCATACAAAAGTGAAAATATCTGAAAATGACTTTTCTTTGAATGTGGCTTCGGTGAAATTGTACTTCGAAAAGTAGATATTTTCTAGATGAATAAATAGCTTTGACAGTATTTTATCCAGCATTGGGCTTAGGCTAAGGACATAATTCCCATGGCACACTGCATGCTTCATGACCATCACCAGATGGTGGGCTGTTCAAATCACTTTTCTTCTGTCCATTCTTAAACATTTCTCATATCACTACCTTTTCTCCCTAAACGTGCCCATTCGATTTTGTGACTGATCAGAAAACAAAACAAAGTGGTTAAGAGGTGGCCATCTTGAATTTGACAAATCATTTTAACTACTTTTGAAGATTGATTTAAAATTTGATATTATTAAAAGCAAAAACAGAGGAAAGAAGGGAAAAGATATCTTGTTCCCAATTATTAAAAAGAATTCATTTGATGTACATAATGTGCAGATGTACTTCATGTTAGGTGAGCAATTCATTTCTAGTAATTTATTTATTAAGTAAATTGTAACATATTTTCCATACAATTGGGAAAAAGTGATAACTTTAATATAATTTTAGATTTGACAGCTGAGATTAATTGGTTGTCTATTTCTTGTAGATGAAATTGTGGCATTGAAGCGACTGAAGATGGAAAAAGAGAAGGAAGGCTTTCCCATCACTAGTCTACGAGAGATCAACACTTTGCTGAAGGCTCAACACCAAAACATTGTTACTGTCAGGGTGAGGATGATGAATAAGAGGAAGAATAATTATCCACTGTTGGTATAACCTTGTCTGTCATGTCCTGGTGGGCACGGCCTGAATCATTGTCATCACTCAATCATCACTTGATGTATTTATTATTTCAAAAAGCACTGACTCTTAAAAAAAATTATGTGAAGTTATAACTATCTTGGTATTGTCGAATTAGAAATCCTGTATGCAGTAGAAACGATTCCTTCCTACATACCCGTTACACCAAACAGGACTAAGAAGAAAGAGAATAGAGGTTGTTAATAGAACTTTTTGTGTTTACAGGAAATTGTGGTTGGTAGCAATATTGATAAAATATACTTAGTCATGGATTATGTTGAACATGATCTAAAAAGCCTGATGGAGACTATGAAGCAGCCATTCCTAGTGGGTGAGTTTGGGCTTGTTCTATTAACATGTTACATGTTGGATGTAAATCCAAGGTCAGTTTTAACAGGGGCATGTCATAGAACATTCTGGTTTTTCAACAAATAATAAGTTTAACTCAGATTCTGTTTCTTCACATTCTAATACATTTTTGATTGCTAGATTGTCAACATTTTAGTTCTGATCTGTGAAAGACAGATCATAATCTCGTGAAAGACGCTCGATTTATTTATTATCATCTTACTTATCAAAGGTCTTCCATTGTCAGTCTTTCTTCCTGTCAAAGATAATGATACTGCTATTTAGTGAGACTCCTTAGACATGCAAACTGTTTCAATATTTCTTGAATTTCAAATTCAGTAAAAGAGACAAATTTTCTTTTCCTGATTATTCCCCTTGCAGTATCTTGCATTGGTTTGTGTTGAAATTTCGTAGATATCCCACAATAAGATGATATTTTCGATATATCAGGTGAGGTGAAGACTTTGCTGAAACAGCTTCTGTGTGGGGTGGATCATCTCCATGACAACTGGATCATACATCGGGACCTCAAGACCTCCAACCTCCTTCTGAGTCATAAAGGCATCCTCAAGGTAGGTACCTTCTAAATATTCTAAACAAATTCTTTGTTTTTTGACAAAGTTTCCCATCCATCCAATCTATTCTGTCCTGTCGTGGTGCATCTTATTCTGAATAAGTGTTATATCTTGAGAATCCCTCAACAGATTTAAGTCATATTAACCCCATATTACTGTAACATCATCTACATTTTATTTTGAGATGGTCATTATCTAACGTTAGAGGGTAAATGGTCACATTTGACAATTTCTGAAAATTCAGCAAAATATGATACTTGTATGTATAGGAGTGTGAACATCCATGTCTTACTGATATTCTCCTATTCAAGGGCACTAGTGTCACCGAGTGTAGTAAGATCTCCAACAGCAGGCAGTCAAATTTTGTTGTAATGTAGTGGTGGTGCTTATCAGTCTGTAGTTAGGATCAGAATGAACCTATTCTCTAGTTCATCACGTAACCTTTCGGACTGTACACATGACTTGTGACAGAGAGTTTACATGTGACTTTTAGTGTGTTGTTTTAACCCGCCATTTTGATGTGATTTCTTACTATGTGTAATTATGTCATTAGCCAAAACTTAATTTGCCAGCCATGTTTCAATTCTTAGTTTCTAAAATGACTTCTTGTTTCATACTTTACGTGTGACAGAGCGTAATAAGATAATTAGAATTTATCTGAATCTAAAATTGCATGCGCTAAGACATTGTTTACACTCTCCGAATGATATGAATTAGTGTTGGATTGCTCCTGTTTTAGTTTTCTTTTCGACATTGTTAATAAAATAATTATGCAAACTTGAAATTATTATAATCATCAGGAAGTACACAATTTTTAACAGATATTTAAATGTTATAATGCTTTTTATCAGTTATGAAATGAATATCTAACCATTTAGTCCTTTAGTAAAGTAAGTGACACTTGACTTTTACAAAGTTTTGCTCAAGAAAATGTGATTTTGCTTGGAAAAGAATGTGGAACATCAGCATTCTCAAAGTAACTAATGTATGATGTGATTGACTAGACTCAATTACTAAGTGGAATTAATATCATTTTGTGTCATTAATGGATTATAGATTGGGGACTTTGGACTGGCCAGAGAGTATGGTTCTCCACTGAAACAATACACACCTATAGTTGTTACACTCTGGTACAGAGCACCTGAACTTTTACTGGGCTGTAAGGTAGGTGTTGTTAATTTCACAAACTCAATAACGAATGAACAATAACTAAAACTAAAAAATAAAAGTGTGATAGAGAATAATTAATTCATGATATTGATATAAGAGTTGAATGGGTACAAGTGTATTCAAATCTGAGGTAATTAACAGCACTGGCAAAATGGATGTCAACATGTGATACCAAATTCCTTACAATCATTTGTCCAGAAATAATTTTTGATGACACCCATGCTGATTCAGTTACCGATATCAGAGTCTTATATCTTATATCACTGTGTGCAAAATCATGCATTTGCATAAGTTCGCAAAATAAAGTGTTCCCGAAATCAAACTGATTTACAGTTCATCAGCAATTACAAAATATCCTTAATATGGAAGGTAACTTGAGATTAGTTAATTCTTGTAATATCAGATAACATGGCTGTGTAAAGTATTGTTATACCAGGTAACTTAACTGTTTATGCCAAATCTACAACATTGTCCTATTTTCCTTAGCTGTACAATCTCATGACAGAAACAGGGAAAATGAGATGCTAGCAAAAAATATGTCATAAAATGATTCCCAGTAATTCAGAATACATCAAATACATAAAGATTATATATCTATATATAGATATATTTATAGATAAATGTTGAATTCACAGTGTCCATCCTCCATTTACATATTACCCTCCCTATAACTGTAGACCCTCTTTATAAACCCTACATTTTCAACAGGAGGTGTCAGTGTAACAAGAGTTTTGTTATGTTACAGGAATATGCTACTGCGATAGACATGTGGTCTGTGGGTTGTATATTTGCCGAGTTCCTGATGATGAAAGCGCTTTGGCCAGGGAAGTCGGAGATTGATGAATTGAATAGAATATTCAAGGTAAGGTACTTTATGATAAAAAGGGTTTTGTTTGCACCAGATTAAATATTGTGTTCCTCTGTGTCTGTCACATTATTTATTTTTTACACTTTCAAATCAAATTTGAATTTCAGCATGTAACAGATCATCTAATTACTTACAAATACCTGTATATCACAGATCTATGAGGATAGCTTTCACTGATCATTTAATGCTTCAAAGTGGTCCATATAACGCCATTCATCATTTCTAAAATAATCCTATATTTGTGTCATTTACTGTTTATCAGTAACAAGTCATGCATTGTCTGTATGTAAAGTGATTTTGATGTATAGTTTCAAATACTTACAAAACAATACAAGGAAGGTTCATGTGTTTCAGGACCTGGGAACCCCTAACGAGAAAATCTGGCCAGGTGTGAGTGAGTTACCTGGAATGAAGAAGTGTACATTTACAGATTATCCCTACAACACAATACGACAGAAATTTGGCTCCTACTTCACAGATGTAGGATTTGATCTGCTAAATAGGTGTGTATGATCATTCTCATTATAGAAATTTGGCTCCTATTTCACAGATGTAGGATTTGATCTGCTAAATAGTTGTGTATGATCAGTCTCATTATTTTTTTTAAACAATGAAGTTTCATCAGTAGGAAAGAAAAAAAAATTACAAAATTCACTTTTGTATATCAATATCTTTATCTTACCTGCATAATGTCTTGTCAAATGTTTTCTTTTAACAAGTTAAAAGAGGCTCACACAAAGTTTGTATTCTATAGATATTTGGTCTGTAGCATACTTAGGTAAAGGGCTTGTTAAAATGAGTATGATTTCTGTACCTCGTGTTAGGTGAGATACAAGGCGTGTTTGTTTTCAGATTTCTATACCTTGTGTTAGGTGAGATACAGGGCATACTTGTTTTCAGATTTCTATACCTGATGTTAGGTGAGATACAAGACGTCCTTGTTTTCAGATTTCTATACCTCGTGTTAGGTGAGATACAGGGTAGCTTGTTTTCAGATTTCTGTACCTCATGTTAGGTGAGATACAAGGCGTACTTGTTTTCAGATTTCTGTACCTCGTGTTAGGTGAGATACAGGGCATGCTTGTTTTCAGATTTCTGTACCTCGTGTTAGGTGAGATACAAGGCGTACTTGTTTTCAGATTTCTGTACCTCGTGTTAGGTGAGATACAGGGCATGCTTGTTTTCAGATTTCGGTACCTCGTGTTAGGTGAGATACAGGGCGTGCTTGTTTTCAGATTTCTATACCTCGTGTTAGGTGAGATACAAGGCGTGCTTGTTTTCAGATTTCTATACCTCGTGTTAGGTGAGATACAAGGCGTGCTTGTTTTCAGATTTCTATACCTCGTGGTAGGTGAGATACAAGGCGTACTTGTTTTCAGATTTCTGTACCTCGTGTTAGGTGAGATACAAGGCGTACTTGTTTTCAGATTTCTGTACCTCGTGTTAGGTGAGATACAAGGCGTACTTGTTTTCAGATTTCTATACCTCGTGTTAGGTGAGATACAAGGCGTGCTTGTTTTCAGATTTCTGTACCTCGTGTTAGGTGAGATACAGGGCATACTTGTTTTCAGATTTCTATACCTCGTGTTAGGCGAGATACAGGGCGTGCTTTTTTCGGATTTCTATACCTCGTGTTAGGTGAGATACAAGGCGTGCTTGTTTTCAGATTTCAATACCTGTGTTAGGTGAGATACAGGGCGTGCTTGTTTTCAGATTTCTATACCTCGTGTTAGGTGAGATACAGGGCGTGCTTGTTTTCAGATTTCAATACCTCGTGTTAGGTGAGATACAGGGCGTGCTTGTTTTCAGATTTCAATACCTGTGTTAGGTGAGATACAAGGCGCTTGCGGATTTCTATACCTCGTGTTAGGTGAGATACAAGGCGTCAGATTTCTATACCTCGTGTTAGGTGAGATACAAGGCGTGATACAAGGCGTGCTTGTTTTTACCTGTGTTAGGTGAGATACAGGGCGTGCTTGTTTTAGGTGAGATACAGGGCGTGCTTGTTTTCAGATTTCAATACCTCGTGTTAGGTGAGATACAGGGCGTGCTTGTTTTCAGATTTCAATACCTGTGTTAGGTGAGATACAGGGCGTGCTTGTTTTCAGATTTCTATACCTTGTGTTAGGTGAGATACAAGGCGTGTTTGTTTTCAGATTTCTGTACCTCGTGTTAGGTGAGATACAAGGCGTGCTTGTTTTCAGATTTCTATACCTCGTGTTAGGTGAGATACAAGGCGTGCTTGTTTTCAGATTTCTATACCTTGTGTTAGGTGAGATACAGGGCGTGTTTGTTTTCAGATTTCTGTACCTCGTGTTAGGTGAGATACAAGGCATGTTTGTTTTCAGATTTCTATACCTGGTGTTAGGTGAGATACAAGGCGTGTTTGTTTTCAGATTTCTATACCTGGTGTTAGGTGAGATACAAGGCGTGTTTGTTTTCAGATTTCTATACCTCGTGTTAGGTGAGATACAAGGCGTGTTTGTTTTCAGATTTCTATACCTCGTGTTAGGTGAGATACAAGGCATGTTTGTTTTCAGATTTCTATACCTTGTGTTAGGTGAGATACAAGGCATGTTTGTTTTCAGATTTCTATACCTTGTGTTAGGTGAGATACAAGGCGTGTTTGTTTTCAGATTTCTATACCTTGTGTTAGGTGAGATACAAGGCATGTTTGTTTTCAGATTTCTATACCTTGTGTTAGGTGAGATACAGGGCTATCTTGTTTTCAGATTTCTATACCTTGTGTAAGGTGAGATACAGGGCTATCTTGTTTTCAGATTTCTATACCTCGTGTTAGGTGAGATACAGGGCGTGCTTGTTTTCAGATTTCTATACCTTGTGTTAGGTGAAATACAAGGCGTACTTGTTTTCAGATTTCTATACCTTGTGTTAGGTGAGAGATATACAGGAATTTGTCAGTTTGTGTCTCTAGCTGGTGTGAAATAACACTTATTAAGATTTCATAGGAACCACTTTAGTGATCAGTGTGAAAACTGAGAGTAAATTTCACAGAAATGATAAGCTTAAGTCTTTATCCAACTATAAGCCCCTTACTGGCTATAAGCTTGTCAACATCTATTGATGTCCAGTGAATTATGATAAATGAAATTCTAAACTTCTTTTGCATTTGCTGAACCTCTATAAAGAAAACATCCTTGTGGAAAGAACATGTTCTTGATGGTTTGGTGTAATGCTGTTGATGTTTCTGAAGTCACAAACTATCACCTTTAAATGCCTCGTTGATAAAGTTCCTGTTTTGTGGGAAAAAATTGATTCATTGTCCTTTAATAAGCCCACTCCGAGACTCTGAGGGTAAGAAGTAATATGTTGGCACCATGAGCTAATGACAGGATAAATACAGGGATATTTATGTACTATAGAAAATTACAAATAATACCTCAGACAGAACAGAACAATGGAATGGAGTGTTCATCTATTTATGAAGTGAAATCCACGACTGGAATCCGTGACATATGAAATCTGATTGATTTAGAGGGTGACTAATCAATGGTTTGGTGATCTTGTTTCTTCTTCTTCTAGATTCCTTACATATAACCCAGAGAAACGTATTACTGCGGAGGAAGCCAACACACACGCTTACTTCAAAGAATCTCCACTCCCAGTTGATCCATCCATGTTCCCAACGTGGCCAGCCAAGAGTGAACAGCCACGGAAACATCAGAACTCTCCAAAACCTCCATCAGGTGGCAATGCCTACAACAAACTCATGGTATGTGATTCTAGACCCCAGATAAATACTTCACGTATGCAATAGTTCTCTTTTCCCAGTAACAGAAGGTTATTATTGTGAAAAATTTTCTCCGGTTTGGTAAGTACATATGTAAATTAATTTTGATGTACCACAAAAAAATTCATGTGTGATGATTGGATGACTCTTCTGTGGAACTAATATTTCTGGCTTCAATTTAATCCTGTGTTCACCTTGGTGTTCAGGTACTTTACTGGTCATTTATCTGGTGTATAACGTGTTTGGTCACTGAACATTTTAAATTTTCTAAATGATTGTACTACATAAAGATATATTCCTAAACAGTAGGAGTCTTTAAGTGTTTGTCTTATCTTGTAATTTTCTGTCAGTATGAGGTAAGCATTTTGCAAAGATTTTACATTTAGCTCCCTTTGTCTGATAACCTGGTAGAGTACAACAGTGTCATGTGACCTGTACTACACACCCCTGTGACATGGAGATCATCATGTGACATGTAGATTTCATTATCTTTGTGAACTACTGTCTAGCTTGTTACTTTTGTGGAAATAATATTTTGCTGTTCGCGGTACATTAACTTTATAAAAGTAAAATATAATTTCATCATTTAAAAGAAAATCTTTGACCCATGAAAATTAACAGAGATATGAGATTTTATTTGCTGACTCAGGTAATTAGTATACATTACAAACATTAGAATGTACTGCTGTATGATTTTAGGCTGATGAAGATGTGGAGAAAGTGATAGCATCTAGAGGGTTCCACCTGACCAATGCTGCTAAGGGAGCCTCCGCTGTGGGAATGGGTTTCAGCCTTAAGTTTTAAAGAAGAAGCAGGACATTTTCCTTCTCATCTAGAGCTAGTGAAGGAATACAGACCAGTCTCTGAAAATTGTGATCATGTTACAGCACTGCTAAGGGGAAAATTTACAAATACATGGATACATATAGGAAATTCTATATGATATTGCATTGCTTGATCTCAAATAAAATTTGTTCATATCCATCTTGTGTTAAGGACAGGGATACAGTGAAACCAGGTTTAAATTGGTGCTACAAAACACTGCCCTTTAGACAAATCTTGGATGTCAGAAATTAATTAATAATTTTAGATAAAACAGAAAACTCAGAAATGAGTGATGAGGAGAAATATTCAAATTCTGCATAAGATTTACATGTATATAGTCTCTCATTTTCAAGGACTTAGAAACATGTTGGTGTGGAAAACTGAGAGATCCTCTCCACACTTTGACACATCTTTCTGCTTCATAAGGAGTGATCACTTTCATTAATCATCATTGTAAGTGCCATAATGAAGACCTCTAAAATCTTGCTTTGATGTGGTCAGGATGTGATTACACAGGAGCAAATATCTCGGAACAAAAGCATGGTAAAAAATTTGTTATGTTACACATGCCAAGTAATACTTGTAAGGTATATCTCAAGTACTAAATTCCCAAACTCAGTCTCTACATCTGGAACGGATATTTACAACATCACTGTCATATTTATCACTGGTTCCAACATGTTATTTAACTGGGAAAAATATGACTGCTCATAAACACTGATATAAAATTGTGAGGGTGGTGATTGTATGTACGTGAGGATGGAAGAGATCATTATTCATGTTTGTTAACTTGTAGAGTTTATATATTGATTATCTCCCATGTATTTAGGTTTGGTGTCTCTGTGTATCTTCTGACAGTAATGGAAATTATCTGAGATGGATTTCTCAAGATTTCTTATCCGTGCAATCAAAACAGGTCATAGTCTCACAACAACCAGCGGTTTTCTGGCGAATTCTGTCAAACGATGATTTGACATATCCTGATGTGTTCAATCTAATTAGGTACCAAAGTATTTCAACTAATTCACCTCTTTATTTACTTTTTAAGGGAAAGGTGATTGCGTGATTTCTGAAAATGTTTTCGATAACAACTTGAAAAGTAACTTACATTCTGATAGAAAGCATTTAAAACGACGTCGCTGGATTGGTCCACAGTTTAGGAAAGTTATTGTAGTGAAGCGGGAATGAAGCAGAAATCCAACCCGTAACAAGGTCTGGAAAATTGGTCTACATATATATATGTAGTTAACAGTCCAAAGCTTATAGTTAAAGACAGAATGGAATTGTGTTTCTTTACAAGTGAACTCAGACAAACTAAAATGCATTTACTAGTATTTAGGAATTTTTCCCACAACCCATTTGTTTTGTACATTATATGAGAGACTTGAAAGTGAATGATGAGAAAGTGGTTCTTTGTAAACTTCAATAATGTTTTCTTAAATACAGAGAAATAAAATGTCAGACATAGAAATTCTATTTGTTTGTTGTTTAGTAAGATTGATACAGCAGTATTACAGCACCTGAGACAAGGAGTTTTCCCGTTTTGATTTGTCTCATTCCCAAAAATGCTACACTAACTGTAGTTGTTCAAGTGATACGCCTTGCTTCTCACAAATATGATATAGTTTTTCCTGAAATTTGGAAATTCAACATAAGAATAGATACAAGTCTTTCATTCCTTGCATTAACTCCTTCCACAAGTCTCTAACTACTACTAAAAAAATTAACTCTACCTTAAATTTTTCACTACAACAAATCTTTCAGTCCTCTTTATTTTCTCCTCCAAATCTTTAACTCCGCCTTAAATCGTTAATTTCTCCTACAAACCTCACTCTTCCTTCAGTCTTTAACTTCTACAAATCTTTAACTCCGCCTTAAATCGTTAATTTCTCCTACAAACCTCACTCTTCCTTCAGTCTTTAACTTCTACAAATCTTTAACTCCGCCTTAAATCGTTAATTTCTCCTACAAACCTCACTCTTCCTTCAGTCTTTAACTTCTACAAATCTTTAACTCCGCCTTAAATCGTTAATTTCTCCTACAAACCTCACTCCTCCTTCAGTCTTTAACTTCTACAAATGTTTAACCCACATTCAATCTTTAACTTCTACAAATCTTTAAGTCCGCCATCAATCGTTAACTTCTACAAACATTTAGCACCACCTTCAATCGTTAACTTCTAAAAACATTTAACACCACCTTTAATCGTTAACTTCTAAAAACATTTAACACCACCTTCAATCGTTAACTTCTACAAACATTTAGCACCACCTTCAATCGTTAACTTCTAAAAACATTTAACACCACCTTCAATCGTTAACTTCTAAAAACATTTAACACCACCTTCAATCGTTAACTTCTAAAAACATTTAACACCACCTTCAATCGTTAACTTCTAAAAACATTTAACACCACCTTCAATCGTTAACTTCTAAAAACATTTAACACCACCTTCAATCGTCAATTCTCTTACAAATCTTTACCTCTGTCTTCAATCTTTTATTTCTTTAGACCAAACTCCGCCTTCAATCGTTAACTTCTCCTACAAATCTTTAACTTCTCCTACAAATCTTTAATTTCTCCTTCAAATCTTTAACTTGCTACAAGTCATTAATTTAGACATTAAATGTTTGTGAAGACTTAGTGCCCGTTATCAGTGGTACATGAATTTTGTATCGTTTTTGTTTGATGTTCTATAGTCCGACACATTCGAGAGATATTAGGAAGTCAGTGGCTAGAGATAAGATAAGGAAAGGGAAACTCGTGTATACATAGCATATGGTTGCTACGTTCTGTTGTAGATGTTGAAGACAAGAAAATCCGATTTCTGCCGGAAATACATTAGTTGTCGTTAACCATACGGTGAAGCTATAGATTTTAAATTGAAGTATTAAATCTTCTGGTCTGAAACAGAGGGGGGCGGGATTTGGCTATATTGCATTAAATAACTTCTCTAGAACTACACACCGAGTAACACTTAGATTTGCTAAGACATTTTCAGGGGAGTGAAGATCTAAAATTGGTCAAATGGATGAGCAGGTCATACATGGCTTTTCGATTATGATATGGTTTATACAACTTCCCATGAACTAAATACCGGTCATCATTTTTCGAACTGGTAGTATATCGTGGTGGCGGGGATTTAAAACTGTACAAATTATAGGGCTGCGGGACAGGGCCAAAAAGTGCTATATTGGTTTAAGCTTACTAGCTGGGACTGAGAAATGGATATCAGGCGTGTTGGACATATAGCAACCCGAGGTTGTGGGAATACGAAATGGTACAAGGGATGGAGCGAACGGGCAGGGCCAACTTGCCAGGTTGGGGTGGACTCTATTGCTCCATATCTAGAACAATGCACTCGATATCGCTCGTATTTTCTGGAACCGTTCACAGAAGATGAAGATTCCCTGGGAGCTGAGAGGAAGGGTCCAAAATGGAATTCTTAGCAAATTCTTGGTAATCCCTCTGTTACTGTAGAATGACAAGATTTTGTCCAATTTTGGTCTGAAACATTCGTTGGGGTGATAAGCAATCAGTATCGTATAGACGGCGAGTCTAACTTCATTAGGGATAGAGAGACGGGGTCCAAGAAGGTTAAATATCAAGATCAGAGTATTTCTTTTATGGTTGGACGAAGATATTTTGATCAAATTTGATTGGAAGCATTTTAATGGGAAAGGAAACCAAGTTTGTATAAATGGTTGGTCTTGGTCACATGGGGTCTTAGAGTTGGGCTCGAAAAGGAATTAAATTCTTAGACATCTTTCTTCAGTGGGAATGGCAGAATGTTGTCCAAATTTGGTCTGAACACTCATTTGTACGTAAAGTCTAGTTGTACGAGTTTACAAACATTTTTTACTGCTTATATGAAGGTATTTAGTCAAACTTCAGTGTAGAGCTTTAAAACCCTCGTCTTTTAGGGGGAAATATCACTATATAATTGTACATATTTATGTTTTCAGGTGAATGTTGCGATACCACGTATCCACCATAGCGACACAGATCTCGTGTGTTTCCTTGTTTGGGCGTGATATGATTCCGTCTCTTATTCAAATGACCCAAGACTCGGTAAAACTTAGAGGCACAAATGGCTTGCGATGTTCTTCCCACTGCAGTGTTAGAGTCAGAAAGATTAGTGAGATATTTTGTTGAGAAAATGTTTCAAAGTTCGTGCGAGTTCGTACCTATTAACTATTCTGTGTAATATTGTACAAAGTCACTATCAAGTGAAATTATAAAGATAGACACAAAAAAACACGCGAAGTCAGTACCATTGAGCTAACAGTGATGTGTGTGCCATGCGTTCTAATCTAGTCCCTGACGTTTTCATATAATCCCCAACCCCTTGGTACACATGCAAAAATCGAACAAACTGAGAGAGAAGCTCATTTTCCACGGAGATATATAGACAGGACACTTCGCCCACCGCGGAGGAAAATCGCATCACTACGCTGATTGTTAGTCTAAACTGGAAACACGTGTACGTCTCCCTCCGTGATTGGTTTTGACGTGAGTTAATTGCTGAAAATCTTCTTGTAGAAAAAAAACCCTTTAACGACGTCAATTTAACTACACACTTAGGTTCAGATACTAGTAAATCACGCGTCTTGCTAAACCTTCTCGTTTTTAGGGTCACTCCCAAGTTCCCGTGCATATCTAACAAATTACTTACCAGGAAACTTATTTGTATACAAGAATAACTCTACATTGTATAAATAAATAATCGGCAACCGGGTTAGGAGACAAGCTTTCAAATTTCTGTAAATCTCTCTCCATTTTACATTAATTCTTTAGTAGCAGCCTCTAACGGGAAAAATAGTCATAAATATGCACATACCAGTCAGTATGCTAACACGAAGAAAGGAAGTAAGAGGAAGTGTGGTAAAGGGGTAAGATTAGAAGGAGCTAGTTATACCAAATTGTAAATCAAATATGGGAATGCGATACGGCTTGACAGCTATATGTATTAAAATGGCAAATCCTGTCACATCTGAAAACGCTCACATATAAAAATGACACACCGGCAGAGGAAGGAGCGCTATATTTCCATCCATCTTTCAGTCAGTCAGTTAGTTTGGCCCTGTTAATACAATTCTTCCAAAATACGACATCACATAGTCGTGATCTTGATCCGTTTCGTTACATAATCGCCGTCTTTGGGTTTGTCAGAGTTATTGCCCTTTTCATTTTACTTTCAGACGATTAGACCCAATTCATTCGGAAGTATTAGTACCAAAGCATGACGATGTTCACGTCGTACGGCTGGTGTTGTAATTACTTCATTGTTCTTCAGTTAACTGTCTTATGAACACAACTCCTCAACTCTTTGAAGTATTAGGCCACACTGAGATCTGGGAATTTTTTACGCAGAGCAATAAGGCGGTAGGTTTTTTATTGCAATACTCTCCCAAAAATGTGTCAAAAATATAAAGGAACACTGGCAGTCAACAAAGTTGTTTTGGATCGTATAACCTAGTGTACAAAGAGGTCTTGGCATCCAAATGAGATTTTAAAAGATAAGCTAGCTTTCATATTTTTCGTGACCGCAAAAACGACGAACACAGTTGAATGTGTCGAATTCCATATGGTTTGGTCTATATAAGTATCTCGCGTACAGGAACTGGTCACAATTCATTTTCAAATGGGTTGACTGCTGTTAAGTAATAAATGATGTCTTAAAAATATTTTAATTACATACATAGAAGGTTAAATGAGTTTTCATGTCACATGGTATTTTATGAAATGAGTCGTATCATGTTTTTTTTTAATTTTCCGAGCCTTGGCGTGTAAAAATAAAAAACTCGAGAGAAGTTTTGTAAAATCTCACGTAAAATGAAAATTTTAAATTACCTGCATATATAGCAAGTAAAAACTATATACTATATACATCTTGTATACCTCAGATAAATTACATGTTAACAACTTTTAAAGTTCAAATCTGAAGACAAAATTACGGCAACCATTTTGTGGTGGTAATTCATTGTCATGACATCACGGTTAATTTCAAAATGGCGCAGCCAATGAAAAACGCTTCATGGTATGTAACACAAGTGACATACACGCAAAAATAGTACATGGGTGAAATCGCTGTGTAACAGTCGGATTGTTTGATAAAGGGTACTGTTAATTGTCTGTATTCGTGTATGAAAACTAATCACGGAAAATAAATTGTAATAGGCACCATTGCTATACACGTATGCTTATTTTCGCCAGGCTGAAATGTCAAAACTTTCCTATTAATGGGGTCACGTGATTTGAATTATGACAGCTACACCCCGTGCTCTGATTATCCTTGTCGAATTATTCATCTCTTCCCAGCTGATACTTACCGGAGGCACTAAGGGTAAGCCTAATTACCACACACGTATATTTCTATGGGTTACAACGTCTCCAAGGAATAATGTGAACTTCTCTGTAATTTGACTTTATCGTGAAAGTCAAAAGATCCTTTCTGCTGTTTTTAACTTTTTCAATTTTAGTGTATTTGTCTGGGGATTTTCAAATGTAATCCTTTGTAAATCACCAAATCCAAAAATTGCCCAAAAGATATCTTTCAAAAAGATCAAAATTCTTTTGGAATGGGTGTTAACATACAAGACATGTACACTTTTAAATATCATATATTCTTAAGTCACCATACATCGTCATCATATTATACCTTTAACCTGTACATACCGTTACCATACCAAATAGCCTTTATAAACCATATACCCGTATCGAACCATATATCCTTAACCTGAATATACCCTTCACATACCGTTAAGTCACCGCTCATATACCGGTATCCAGTTAGGTCACCGTATACCGGTATCCGGTTAAGTGACGATATACCCGTATCCAGTAAAGTCACCATATACCCGTATCATATGCCTGTATCCAGTTAAGTCACCATACGCCCGTATCCAATTAAGTCACCATATACTCGTATCCAGTTAAGTCACCATATGAGTGTATCCGGTTAAGTGACGATATACCTGTATCCGGTTAAGTGACGATATACCTGTATCCGGTTAAGTCACCATATGCCTGTATCCAGTTAAGTGACGATATACCTGAATCCGGTTAAGTCACCATATACCTGTATCCGGTTAAGTGACGATATACCTGTATCCGGTTAAGTCACCATATGCCTGTATCCAGTTAAGTCACCATATACCCGTATCCGGTTAAGTCACCATATACCTGTATCCGGTTAAGTCACCATATGCCTGTATCCAGTTAAGTCAACATATACCCGTATCCAGTTAAGTCACCATATACCTGTATCCGTTTAAGTGACGATATACCTGTATCCGGTTAAGTCACCATATGCCTGTATCCAGTTAAGTCACCATATACCCGTATCCGGTTAAGTGACCATATACCTGTATCCGGTCAAGTCATCATATACCTGTATCCAGTTAAGTGACGATATACCTGTATCCGGTTAAGTCACCATATGCCTGTATCCAGTTAAGTCAACATATACCCGTATCCAGTTAAGTCACCATATACCTGTATCCGGTTAAGTCACCATATACCCGTATCCAGTTAAGTCACCATATACCTGTATCCGGTTAAGTCACCATATACCTGTATCCACCAGTTAAGTCGCCATATACCTGTATCAAGTTAAGTCACCATATACCCGTAACCAACTTTTAATTGAAGTCACCAGATACTTCTAACATCAGTATTTGGACAGAAGGCGTGTGACTCGTAAGTCACTTCATGTGTATCTTAATATAAATTACATGTCAGTGTCTAAACAGATTGATTGATTGATTGATTGATTGATTGGTTGGTTGAATGATTGATTGATTGATTGATTGATTGATTGGTTGGTTGATTGATTGATTGATTGATAAGTTAATTGATTGATTGATTGATTGATTGATTGATTGATTGATTGATTGATTGATTGATTGATTGATTGATTGATTGATTAGACTCGTTTTATGGCGATATAGGGTAACAAAATTGACAGTTATACTGATTATGATGTGTGTTCTCTCAGTTCTTCGTGACAGCAAACTTCCTACTCAACAGTAGATCTGCACGTTTGTGTTTGTAGTCTGTGTCTCAAATGTAGTCAAACCCAACTTGTCAACCAACAATTAAGCGTTTGAAGGGTAAATTGTTTGTAAAATTCTTTTGCAATTGATAAGTTTTTTGTTTTCATTTTTTTTTTTTTTTTAGAAATTGTAGAAGATCCAATTAAAAACAAGCAAATATCCTAAAAATGGTCGTTCCGATTCCTTGTACAGTTCAGTTTTGAATTTCTTTAGATTTCCACAGCTAATCTGGCGTCATTCCAATGTTCTGCTATATTTTCCCATAACTGTATCTTTACACAACTACGTGAAATTCAGTATGTGTAATACACGTGTACAGTAACAGTCATCGCACACAGATTCAGTTTTTACAATGTCTATTAATCTAGATTTTGAACTGTAGGTAGGTTTCCGTTATATATACATATATATCGGTCCCGTATCCTGTGTTCTATTTATAACTCAGTTTAAGTGTACACCACGAGCGTCCCACGAGCGCACATCTTACATACATAATATATATAGTAGTCTATAGCTATGTCTTATTATATATCCGCTCCAAGCCTCCTCCAAACAATTTTCCTATGCATATCAGTATACAGTCTCGTATACAGAGCGTCAGCGCTCATCTGCCAAATCTAGAAGGGCCGGGCGAATAAACTTGAGAGAGAGACATTCCCTAGCAACCAAATTCCAGATTCCTTATAGGGCGAGTCAGCTGCTGTAGCTACCACTGTGTATTTTTGGCAGTGTTGTTGTATGAGCCCCACCAATGTACGACCCCCCGCCTCAGTGAAAACCGATCTCCGTTCTGACTAACCGAATACCTCCTTATATGGCACACGGGGGCCACAAAATCTGCGTTTTATCTCATCAAGTCCCGTTTTTACACAAATTTGGCAACATGTGCTCTAGTTTTACAACAGACAGATTGCAAGGCACGTCTCCGACAAAAGTTTGGAGACTTTTGAAAACTTCTGATGTTCCTCTGGTGATCAGCTGATCGGCTGGTTGTAGTTTAGTTTATATACACAATGGCTACAATCACAAAGGAAGTGAATATCTAACAATTGCATTGGAATATATACATGTTTGATAATAGTTCTGTAACGTGACAATGGATTGGCGTTAAACAACGATGTTGATTTGTGTACAACGGATTTACAAGTCAAAAAGTTTTATTTTGCTGTGATCATCAAACCGGAAAGGAATTACACACAACTAAGGCTTAAAATATTATAGTTAAAAATAATATTGTATCATTTACCATGTCTCATCGAAGGAAAAGTGCTCACCCCCTGAACAAGCAGAAAAGGATTGGGAGTGTTGTGGACCGAGTGCTAGCCGCAAAAACACGAGAATACGTACGTATATTGTTTTTATCTACATATATATATATATACCTCTGTAGGCAAGACTGAGTACAATCATAACACAAAATATTATATTCTGTGACGTCACAGTGCGTGCACGAAGCGTCTAATTGACCATATCGTTACTAATATAAACATTGCATGTTTTTAAAGGCCGTGCACTGTCTGTCGATCTAGCGACCGTGTTTTCCTGTCACGTGCTTCAATCTGAATTTATTTGAATTATTTCACATTGTAACTTTCCTTGATTATAGTGTTGCTTATGGTGTATATAACTCTTACTCTTCACTCTCGCGTTAATTACGTCACAATGTCCAGCAAACTGCACGGCCGGCCGGACGTCATCATAAATAGTTGAATTTTAATGTTAACATGTACGCATTATTGGAATCCTGTTGTATTGATAAAACACTCTGTGTTGTTGGTTTTTTTTTCAGGTAAATATCTAGTATGACTATACTTAATACATTTTCAATTCCATTTTTTTTTACTTTATTCATGCAGAAACTATGACAACAATATCACATTCTAGTAAATTATCAATGCATCTTTATCAAACTGTATTTGATTAGAAGCAAAGCAATGATTCCTGCTAATTTTAGAAAATAATCCGATCGTTTTATTAGGGACAAGTACTAGACTCCAAGCTGTGCTTTCACATTATTTACAACAGCTGCTTCAGATTCACATCGACACATAACCTAGCCTTGCTCGAGACCGGGAATTTTTATATTCTGTATTTTATCGCTCTGGATGTAGTGTTACTATCCAGTGTGTGTTCTGTCCATTGCGACAGGTCATTATTCAACTCTGAGACAACAGATACCCTTACCATTACACATATAGGTTGGTGATTATATATCTGAAAAACTGACAACTGACAACTAGATGTGTTATCAGCTAAGAATTCACTTGAGAAATCAGACACTTGCAATTTATTTTAGATAAAATAAAGTTTCAAGAAAAAGTTAAGACCAATCATTGGGTTTTAATTTGTTACAATTTAATTCGAGATGCATGAGACAGCAACGGATGTAGGCAATTAGAGTGTTATGCAGTAAGTGAAAGTTCAATCACTTAATGCTATGACCAATATATGTGTAACTCTATAGCTTATATTCAGATAAGTTATAATCAGTGTTTAGATACATATTTGATACAGATAGAATTTATTTCCCGCTGGGTTCCGACTACAATCGCTAACTTTTGTAATTATTTGAGGTTTGGGTCGTAATAAAGGTACTTCTTTAAGACAAAGGTAGGTGTAAAATGTGAAAATGAAACGTAAATTCTGTAACACCATACAGGCGTAATTTGAATAAAGTTCCAACCCAGGTTCTTTTGGTTATAACGTAAAGTTTTATTTACACATCGACGTTAAATTACACAACAGGCATCATCCCAGGAAGTATACACAGGTGAGGCGAAAAGTTCGAAAAGTGAAATAATCCTACGGACTTAAACAATTTTAGGTTTCAGGGCCGAATAGTGAGAATTGAGGAGAGAAAGTGTATAGAGGTGCTGCCGGTCCAGTCGCTCTCCCCAAAACTCTCTGAGTAACAAACTACATCGATTTATAGATCACACTGCCCATACGGATTTAACCTTTGACACGAAACTGATAAGAAATGTGACCATATTTGGGCATAAGTTGTGTATTTCTTGATCATGTGACCACTCCATCCCCCCGATACTTCACCATCCTCTCCCCAATTTTGACCTACCAATTCTAATGGTCAATTTATGTGATTTTGGCCAGGTACTAACACTTGAGAACAAAGCTTGAAGATACATACTTATTTAGGCGGTCCTGGTCAGGATTTCAATTTCGTAACGAAGTTTGACATCCCAATTCTAATAGTCAATATCAAAGGCCTCAATAGCCATTTCTGTAATTACCCTCACGTTACACATGTACATTCCCCTATAATGAGTTAACCAGTCCACCTGCGATCTCAGGTGCGTCGTTATGGGATACACCGACTGACCTGTGTGTACTTTCCTGTATATAAGATACATACGTATATAAGGAATATATGTTTGTATATATTACGTAATTGACCCTTATTTTGTTACAATTCTTGAAACCATCGGATAGAAAGCACGTGCATACAGACGAAACATACTTACTGTAATGTAGTATACTCAGAACCTATTTATCATAGTCTCTTACATACTAAAAAAGGAACACATTCAATTTGGTCATTTCTTTTTGTCTGCGTTAAAAAATAGCGAATGTCTATAAGTATGTTATCTATAACAGATAACATACGTACATGTATATATTTATATAATCTCCTTAACACCTCTTCCCGCTTTCGATATCGTCCAGAGTTTGGACATGGTCAAGTTGAAAACCACATCATACTAATTTCAAATCCTTTCATGACCCGAAATAAAATGAGCATTGCTAAATCTTTACTAGTTTACTTTTAATATGACGGTATTTTTTTTTAAAAAAAAAAAAAAAAACTTATCGAGTCAAAATTTCAAATGTTTAATTCTCCTTTCCTGTATTCCTTATTCTCATTTATATAGGGATAAATTTCAAATTCATAAATTTTCCTTATTTGAATGATTTCACGTATTTGCACGTGATATTTATCTCACGCAAAAATGAATGGTTATGTCACACTATTGGTTCAATATTTGTGTAGTGACTCTGAGTGTAAGAAATTAATTAATAAACTTTTAGATCAATATCTACCCACGATAAAAGCCGATTTTCCACGTGTCGGTGTTAGATATGGCCGTGCTTGAAAACTTCAAAATACAATGTGTATGTCCGTTGCAAATACTTCCAACCAGTGTAAGAAAAAAAACGAGTTGAAAGTATCTTAAATTGGACGACACTTCAATTGATTCAGACCTGGTGCTGGGTATGACAATAAATGGGTGAGATGCTTATTATCAATTATGAATGGTACACAAATAGTTTATTTACATTATTTATTATTTATAAGTTCATACCTACAAATTTCATAGGTCAAGGACGTTGTACCTAACAACAATTTACAAGTACATACATCTTAGATCCAGTGTGCACGGGAGTGAAAATACTATCATATGAAAGGAGGCCGGGAAAGGACAAAAGAAAAAGAGACAACGTGAAAAAATACATGTTAACGGACAGTCGGTAGGGCAGAGGCCACTGATGACGTATGTTAGAGTTGTACTCTCCACACAACAAATAGTTTCGAAAGAAAAAACGAATGGATTCCAGGTATTTTGTGCGATGCAACAGACTTATTTTAGTGAATTCCTGGATTGAGAGCTGATCAAGTTTGTAGTGTCCTTGTTCAGGTTATAACTGAATTTATGATATAACCCCCAACCCCGGTCATCGGTCAAGGTTAAAAGTCAAAGGTCATTCTTGACCATAGCATTTGATCAGAAGAGACACGTGCAGGGGTGGGGGTAACTTTGTTTGTATATTTTTTACTAATTTCCATAAAACTCTCCACCTCGACCGCTATACTTTAATAAGAATGGCTACCAGCCTCAAACTTATCTCCCTCTCATGTGAAACTTGAAATAAGATATATAAACGCAAAAAGTGCTAAAATACTCAATTTTATTTATTATTTAAACATCCTAGAAACTGGGGCAAATCTGTACTTAAGCTACAAATTATTATATTAAAACTGTCACTTTCTGCGCTGCTGGGCGTCGGTTGCCTTAATCATGTGATGTTACTACATGCTATGTCTAGTAGACATACTTGTGTAAAAAAAGACCTACTTTTAATTAAACTCATTTTCTAAATCATGAAGTAGAGCAGAAAAAGGCGCCATTCTAAGTTATTTTAGATTTAGGAGGTTAGCCTTACATACTTCTATTGAAGGAGAATATTTGTAGAGAAGGAGGTGGGGTGGTGGGGTGAGGAGTTGGGGGTTGTGTGGGGTGGGGCTGAGGGGTGGAGGTGGGGAGACATTCACCACAAAACTATCCCGGGCAATGGAAGTCTAAAGTATGAGAACATTCATCAAGTATGTCCTTTTAGGTCTCCCTCGACAGTTTATAGATGTCCCACTCGGGGTCGGCAGGGGCGGGGAGGGAGGGGGAGGGGGTATAACGGGTCACGATAGCCATTGACAGGCCTGTTGATTGATACATATTTAGGGATAACACATGTTTCCTACAGTGGTCAGTTTGACCTCGGTTCAACTAGTGTGCTTTAGAACTAAGAGAGAGAGACAGCGGGGGATTGGTACACAACAAATACCCCCTGTTAACTACCTCGTCTGCTGTATACATCGCTTGTTTATATACATGAATCACACGTGCGCTGGCTCTTATAGAGGTTTTCCATGATATCTGCCTGGGAGGGAGGGGGTTGGATGGTTAGGGTGCAAGAGAAGGACAGCGGGAAGTCGAGTGCTACTGCCGACTGATGAGATGGGGATGAGGTAAAATAAGAGAGAAAAGCACTAATTCAATTTGTTGTTTTAATTAGTTTCCTTACATGATGTTCTAATTAAATTCATCTTTTTATAGAGCGGACGTTTCCATATGCCTAGAATAAATGTGTATTTTTTTATCAGTGATTTGAACAAAAGTTCAAAACGTCAAAAGTTTGAAAAAGTATCGAACGTTAATCAAGGTGAAATATAAAGTTATGTATCTTCCTGTGAATGATTAAGTAAAAGCAATCAACAGATAATTTAATATAAATACTTAGGCATAGGACTATCTCGTTATGGCATTTATGGTCAACTGACAAACATAATCTTGCGGTGTCGTATAGATGTAAGCAGTTAGGCTGTCTGTAGAATGTTGAAATCATCAGAGATGAATTGAGACTTAAACAACTTTCGGAAATGCCAAGATTTGAACAATGGCGAGTTTACTTTATATAGTAACCTTATAAAGTAAACAGTAAAGAGAATACAACCTATAATGAACATTTGTATTCACTTCTGTAACTGAAATCGATCTGATATGAATTTACCTTCCAGGATCAAGATCTAACAAATCCATTTTAATTTTTATTTTGATTGTAAGTTAATAGATATTAGACTGCACGACTGTCTCTTGTGGGAGTTCTAATTGCAGACAAACTGGCGCGTATTTGATGTTGTTTTTTCCCTCACAAACCGACAACAGTATAACTGCTTAATTCGGTGATGGATGCATCAGGTAAACGAAGCAGAATACACTAGTAAAATACTCTAGTGCTGTTCATATTGGGCTATCGCATATAGCTTATGAATAGAGTACACGTGCACTGTGTAAAACCATTGACATACATAACCGCATGTAAATATCGGTCCACCTGTAAACAACACGGCAGGAGATTGGCCTAGAAACCAACAGCGAACGGAATCATGTTTAATTTTCAACATGAAATGACTTTGATGTATCGCTATCAGAAAATGAATGCTACGTAAAATCTGCTTGAATTATACTCATTTCATCCCAAATCGATGATTGAAAGATTCCTCGCTCCAACAGGAATAAGAGGTCGTAATGAAATAAAAGTACACGTAATATAGAAAGTACATTTCGAAAATAATGCCAATATTTGTAGATATTCTGTCCTTCCATATGGCGCTGTTCACAATTCATTGATGATTATGACAATCAGGTCTGTGTCCACATATTCATAGTGAACATCGCCTTTCAATACAAAAGATTGTATAAAAGACACACAAGTGAACATCGCCTTTCAATACAAAAGATTGTATAAAAGACACACAAGTGAACATCGCCTTTCAATACAAAGATTATATAAAAGACACACAAGTGAACATCGTCTTTCAATACAAAGATTATATAAAAGACACACAAGTGAACATCGTCTTTCAATACAAAGATTATATAAAAGACACACAAGTGAACATCGCCTTTCAATACAAAGTTTGTATAAAAGACACACAAGTGAATATCGTCTTTCAATACAAATTACATACAACAGAGCACTTCATCACACAGCTGTTTCTGTGTACACGTCCATTTCCGTGCCCCAACACATGGAGAAGGTGTACTTATTGCAGGAAGGAATTAATTCCAATATAATCTTTTATTACCTACATTTACTTACCTGCCAATTTATCTTATTAGTATAGGGTAGATACCGCCACTTATCGTACACTTACAGGAGATATTACCGCAGAGGAAGTACACAGGAACTCATCTTAATAAAGATACAAGTTTGATATTCATGTTACGAAGAAAATAATAAAAGATTTTATTTCAATAATAAGCACTATGATATTAATAGGTATTAATTTCGGTTGTAGAGACCCTACGTACCGTTCCAGTGTAAACAGGCTATATAGTGAAATATCATAGATCCATACTTTTTAAAACTACATGGGCGAGATATGGTGTAGCTGGTAATGTCAGGACACGACTTAGCCAATGTTTAATTGGCTTCTTATTTACCATGAAAAGGTACGGAAACGTATTCCGGTCACGTTGTGTTTTATTTCAACTCGAAATTTCGAGATAGTAATCCAAAAGTTTGAGTTAGTAATCCGAAATTTTGAGTTAGTAATCCGAAATTTTGAGATATTAACCCGAAATTTCGAGATAGCAACTCGGAATTTTGAGTTAGTAACTCGAAATTTCAAGTTGTTATCTCTAAATTTCGAGTTACTAACTCAAAATTTCGAGTTGCTATCTCGAAATTTCGAGATAAAATAAAACACTACGTGGCCGGAATACGCTTCAGTAAAAAGGGATTCAAATGGAAGTACTAATTTAGTAAGCAAAAAGATTTGTAATTGTCTAAGGTTTGCTCTCATCTTTTTAGGAGTTGTGGAAGTAGGTATCATATTTTCTCAATACTGGTTAATATTCATTTATTTATTTGCTGTGTCATGCTTAAAGGTTTTGGGAACAATTTACATTTTGTAATTGAAATGATATATTTAATCTTTTCCTCAAACAGAAACGTGAATATTACAGAATGACAATAACAAACGTCTTAAAAGGAAATAAATTCCATTATTTAAATCTTTACCATCACACAGATAAGCATATCTTCGCACCATTCGCATGTTACGTCACCTAGTTTTCTGCTTGTGTTTATTGTTGGCGATCGTCAGATATGATAAATTACATGTATCGTTTTTCAAATGTCTTGAAAATTCCTATACAAGTGCTCACATTTAATTATTGACGTTCGGTACCGTGGACCGAGACATTGCTAGACAACATACTGTAGACATATTTTAGTGGTGATGTATACAACATTTATATACATGTATCCGTGTCTGTTACCAACACGTGCATTAGTTTGCACGTACATAACTGACAGGCTATCTGTGTACCAAAAATGACACAACAGGGCGCGCCGTCCAGAACTCATTTGTTAACGGTTGTGACGTGGCTACTCCGATATCAACTACCATATATGGTATTGTAGATAAGCCATAAAACATTTAGTAGCCATATTGTCGTATCTATGCTCGTGCGTCATTTAGTTTATACCAAGCAGGAAGCGAAAAATCTTGGTTTTCTAGTTACCTAACATGTGCATTTAAGCACGGACTTAGATAAAGTTCAAAGTCTGTGCATTAAGGAGGCTACATAAAAAGGATTTAGTTAATTGACAATTACAAATGTGTATTCGAACACTTCCTTATATTCGCCTGTCACTAAATTAGTTTACATTTTCACAATGTGATGGTATTCCAGTCATGATGTGGACACCGAATTTTTGATGATAGAAATGTTTCAGATAATTCAGTTAGTTATTAGACGGAACAGCCCACTATTTAACATTTACAGTTACGATATACTTTTGGTATAATGGAGTTGTTTATTGCACACACAGCCCCCCCCCCCCCCCCCCCCCCTATTTAATTCTTTATTTATTATTGTTGTCTATTACTGCACCTTTACCATAATTTTGTTTGTACATAACTTTAGTTCCTACAGTATATAAAATGAACATTCATTACCATGCAGCTGTTTTACTTATAGAACATGTTTTTTCCAGGCTCTTTTATCCGGAGAGAAGGATGCTGTCCAACAACCAGGGACCGTGGAAGAGCTTTTCAAGTCAAATGAAAGTCCGTCAGCCAATCGGATGTCGCCAGCTGTATCAACTGACGGCTCCAGCGAATCATCATTCAATGCCTTGCTTGATTCATCCAATCAGAACATCGCTATCCCAGATGACATATTTAAAGACTTTCAAGCCTTGAAGAGTGCCACTCATCTCGACACTACCGAACTGATGAGAAAATTGTTGAAGGAATACACAAGGTAACAGCCACGAATAACTGTCCCCCTGGTCCACGCTACAACATTTGGCTGGATATTAGAACTTACAGCCATCAAACCTTTGAATAAATCCAACCAAACATTCCACTAATATTAAGATTGATACAGCTTCCTTTATCTACTTGATTTGGCTAGACTTCAACTTTAGATCAAATTTCAATGAACCTCGAATGGGAGGTATATGCGTGCTTTACAAACATGGTCTTTTTATTAGCATTTTATGTTAAAAACTGCGCTTACATTGAAATCATAACTGATGATACATTGATAGAGCAGACATATGTCCATACAAAGATGATTATAAGATTCTTTAACAAGACTAGAGTAATTCCGATCAAACATGGATATATCAAAACACTTCCCGATTTTAAATCGAATCAAGTACTTTTTAGTATTGCTAAAGTTAAGATGAAATTAGAAAGTGATGTTAAATATATTGTCGTTTTAGCTATCAATAACTTAGGTATGAGTTCTAAAACGTGAAGTTACTACGATCCAAATGTGTTTTAAGACTTATTATTTTTTTTATCTTTCTGTCATTTAGAGAAGCCCATTAATATAAACCTACATTTAATCCATGATTAAATCTGCTCCTCTGGTTTATATTACAGTGGACCAGAATCTGATGCAGAGGGCAGCAACAACATCGATCAGAAAAAGTCACCTTCAATGGAACAGAACCAAGATGTCTCTAGCCTCTCCGAGTATTATAAATCGGAGGCTGATGACGTCACGAAATCTGACAATGAAATATCGTACCAGTCTGATGTGAACGAACCCCTGGATCTGTCCACTATCAAAACCGAAAAACAAGACAAGTATAATGACTATGGCACTGGTATGACCCCGGTGACCTTGGCTCGTGACCTCTCGCAACAGATCAACGTCCGTCATGGGTCAACACTTTTTCCTACCAATATTGAGACACAGAAATCGCCACCTTCCTATGGTGATGGAAATCCTGGAGGCATGATCCTGTATCCATTTTTTGGCGCGAATGCACAGTATCCCTTATCTGTACCCGAAGCTTCAATGAAGGTTCCGACAGTGATGCACCAACCTGTTCTAGGCGATCGCGAACAGACGGAGAACCCAAACCCAGCATCTCCAGAGCAACATCACATGATAAACAGTAACGAACAACCGGAAAGTAATTTTCAGTCAGAGAACTACAGAGAAGTTCAGTTTCAAAATGGATCAGTTAAAATCAAAGGCACTAAGTTACATCCGGAAATTCAAGTTGGTGATTTGACAGAAAGTGGTCAAAACACACCAATCGAAAGTGAACAAATTTCCTTACAGTTTCAAACTGTATCGCCAAAACTGATCGCGAACGGAAGTAACACAGATTCCACTGCCGTTGTCATGCCAACGGACGCGACACCGGTACCAATAGCAGCCATTCCGACAACTCGGGAAATGATGCCAAATTTGTCATCGGTGCAACAATCAGCTCCCCAAATCGCTGGCGTTCTTCCGACGGTAATGACCCCTTCTGAACTTTCGAATATGAATTTTGCCGAGAACTACGCAGCTGCGACTGCTCAACTGCAGTTGCAGGAGTTTCAGAAGCCGTCTAAAGTATCGGGAAAATCTAAGAATGTAAACAAAAAATCTGGGCAAATGAAACTGATTGCAGAGAACACATCCCACCACGGAGTTTACACTAGCGTGTTAAAATTGCCTTGGAGTCGACGTACACGAACACCGAAGACGGAGAGTAACGAAAAAAGCAGTCAGCAACAGCAAAAATTACTGCTAAAACAACAACAACAACTTCAACAACAACAACAACAACAACAACTGCAACAACAGCAACAACAACAACAACAACAGTTAATGCAACAACAGCAGCAAGGTCAACAACCTCTCATGTTGCTACCCGTGGCCACAACGAATTTACCGTCCTCCCAAGCTGGGGTGTTCATTCCCGCCACAAATTTCTCCATGCCAACCGTCATGTCAAACCCTACCGATTCGTCTGTGAACAGCGCTGTTATGACTTCGACGGTAACCACGCCTGCGATCACACCTATAGCCACACCAACTACAACCCAACCTATGATGATGGTTTATCCCAATGCCACGTTTGGCACTGTAAATAAACCTGTGAGGAAACGAGGTCGTCCGCCGAAAGTTCCCGTGTTAGCCCGGATGTTAGCTGAAGCAAACAAAAGAGCCGCTTTAGACATGCAACAGATTCCAAACTTTTTCCAGAACTTTCCAGCATGTCAGCAACCGGCGGCTATTGTTTTGAATGTAAACAATATGGTCAATCCGGCCGTGCCTGGGTCAATTACGACGCTCAATCCTGTGACGTCGTCATCAAGCACACCCAGTAATCCACCCGCTGTTGTTACCGCCCCAACGGATACCGTTCCAATCGAGCAGATCCCAATTCAGCCCCATACTCTAGATTTACAGCAAACATTGCCAGTTTTGTCCAATCAAATTCCCGTCCAGCAAATTCAAACACCGGATATAGCTACCCCTGCACCAATTGCTCATGCGATGGACAACGACCCGCGCTACAGAACATTGACACATGCTGATGTTTCCAGTCCGACTCTTCAAAATCCTTCACCAGATCTGATGCCAAAGTCACAACCTCCTCAGCCAGAATTAAAAACTATATCCACTACAAGCGTCGCGAAAAACGACTCTGGCGCCCTCTACCAAGAAATGATCCTTTCATCCAAAGCGTTGGTGAATGTGAAACCTAGGCGACGTCAAACAACCACAGAACTCCTGAAATCTAAATCCGGAGCCGACAGTTTTATATGCACCTCCTTCCGTCTTCGATCGTCACCGGGAAAGGCAAAAGAAAAGAGAACGGCTGTGGTCACGGGTATGAAACGTCGAGGTCGACCGCCAAAAAGGAGAGTAATGGGAATGTTTGACCACCAAACTGAAAGTATGGGCAAGAAGACAACTGACCAACTAGCTTCACAAGTTCCAATTTCAGACTCTCAATCAATAGCACAATTGTACGGCGAGACGAATCTCGACGCCTTGCACTCACCAACAGAAATTGGACAAACCGCGCTAAATTTGACTGGAGGCGACCACCTAGACCAATGTCCAAGAAGCCTGAGCAGTTCAGAAGAACCACGTCTGTTTGACGGAGAAATTGATAGCACCTATGACAACCCGTTGTTAGGGAATCAGTTCGGTGTTGAAGGATCGCTATCAGATGGATGTTTACCTCGAGATACATCTCAAGGGCGCTTCATTTTCTCTAGCGATGATGATGAAGCTCGTTTGAATCGAGAACAAAAAGTTGGTTTGGATTGCGACCTTGAGCGCGACGAGAGTTCCAACGATGATAATGATTGTCTGTCTAACGATATGTTTTCAAAATTATTTCATTGCAAAGTGTGCAATGAAATTATACCGGTGGAAAAGAAAAACGAGCATTGGGAAAAGCACGCGCGTGTGAAACTAAAGTGTGTCACGTGTGCCGCAACTTGTCACAAGTTTCTGACTAAGGAACAAATGTCGTCCGATTCTGCGCGAGAACATATGCAATGTGACAATTGTGAACGGTCATCTGAGATGGACATTTCTGACCCACCTCTTTCTACTATTGTCCAGTGTGAAATATGTCAGGAGAGTTTCCCAGATGGACGAACATTAAAACGACACATCAAGGTAGAACATCCTGGAACGTATGCTCTGCAAAAAGCAAAGCTCATGAGCATCAGGAAACACTCGGAGGACCAATCTCACTCGAATCCGAAATCACATGAACTGAAAGTGTATTTATGTCCTGTTGAAGAATGTCAGAAAAAGTTTTATTCAAAGTTTCGGATCAAGCTGCACATGAAAAAGTGGCATACTAATAGACAGGGTTCTCCCTCCTCTAGTACGGAGGGAGGTAAAAAGAACGGAGGTAGTCGTAGCCAATACCGACAGTTTACAGTGAAAGGCTACACGTGTTCTTGGCCCGGCTGTGATGAGGAATTTCAGACAGAACGAAATTTGAAAGTACACCTTTTGCTTCACAGAGATGAAAAACCTCTCAAATGTGACTTCTGCGACTATCGCTGTCGTCAGAGAACAGCTCTTGGATGGCACACTCGTAAACACCATCCAGAAGCTTCAAACGTCCTCATGACATACACACAATCAGGCTCAACGGAAAGCTCTGCACCTGGCGAGGAAAATGGCGTCGAGTAGTTATCAGCGGATATTCTGATTCAGTAGAAAACTTAGGGTCATAAAAAATATGTGAAGTTATTATCGTGAATTCAAACGTTTACGAAACATCAGCATATTCGTTAGAATTAGGGCTGCTTGGAGAATGAACACTTGGCTATGATTCTGTTAAATGCTCTATTGCCATGCTATTAACCGAGACGAGAAATGAAAGATACCTGATCATCATGACTGACTAATCGATAAACCACCTCATATGGACAATGAATAGTTTAGGCTTCTGTGATTATACGGTGACAATTCGGACTCAGGGAACAATGTCTGCTGCTATGGAATAAATGTTTTAGCAGTTATCTAATGTTTTCTAGTTGTCATTGTGTTTGCTTGTTGAAGCTGATACACACTGACTAGACTTTCGTGAATTTGTTTCTATAACACATCTGGTCTTTCGTCTTACATTCTAATATGTTGTATGTGTAAGTTTATCAATCATTGTTAAACAAGGAAAAGCGGTCAGCCATTTTGTTTTTTATTATCAGTCCTAAAAGTGAGGAATGCACAAGGGAGAAATGGGAACATACCTTTGAAATTTGAAAATTATTCATTGGTATTTTTCAAGAAACAACAATAGCGAACTATATGTTTTGATAATCTAAGATAGTTACCTGTCGGCCAGTACGCCATCTCTCCCATCAGAAATGCACCCCAGTATATTCTACATGAGATATTTGAGAATGACCTGCTTCTAATACTCAAAAAATAATAAGACTGCCATCTGTCGGCCATTTCGTTTCTTCCTATCAGTTCCATAAACAAATATCGCAACTATAGGGCTGAGCAGATCTGACATGCGAAAATCTATGACTTTAACAATAAACTGTAAATATGGACCAGGGCCCGTATTCAAGAAACATATATTATATGGTGTAGAACAGATATAATTTGCTTGGGTAAAGAACAGATCTGATTTGTATGATATAGAACAGATCTAATTTGTATGATATAGATTTTTTTACGTATGTCATAGAACGGTATTTTTGTAAGGTAGAGTGGAGGGTCCTAAATATAATGAAACCCGTCCGTGTCCGTGAATTGGAATATGAATTTCATAATACTTATGGATTCCATTGAAAGCTATCCCAGAGAATGGATCAAACGAGAACATGCTGTGTTAGATTCACTTTCTGAGTGGATAAAATTCATCCGGTCTAGTATTATTTAAAGAATTAGCAGCTTTAAATCTAAAATAAAAACAAAACACACGGAAGAAATACTGGCTAATCATGTTTCAGTATTACAATACGGACCTCCCCCGTTTATACTGGATTCCTAAACATCACAAGAATCCATATGTACAACGTTTTATTGCTGGCTAGTCTAGCTGTTCAACCAAACCAATGTCAAATTTGTTTACTACCATTCTTAGCACTACTAAAATTTAGAACGGTGAATGGCAGTACACATATATGGTTGGGAACTATACTTAAAAAGGAATTTGTATAAGATACGTCTAGAACAATAAGGAAATACACGGAGGACAAAATCATAAATAGGATCGCGTTTCTGTTTGACAACACCTTTAACGAGTTTGGTGATAGGATACCCCAACAGACTATTGGCATACCTATCGGAACTAGCTGTATCCCTCATTGGCTGACATGTTTTGATCTCATCCGAGGCTGAGTTTATCCAAGGCTTGTCAAAACAAGTAAAACAAGATCTTGTTAAGACGATTTATTTCACTTAGATATATTGATGGCGTCTTGTATTTAAGTAACAAGAAATTTATTTGCCAAGTTCATCGTCCTTACCCACCAGAAATCAAGTACACGACAGACTATGGTGGCTGATTCGGGACATCGTAATATCGCTTCGTTTAATGGAAAGCGATATTGCGATATCACGATACCGCGATAGCGCGATGCGATACCACGATATCGCATCGTGCTATCGTAGTATAGCATCGTGCTATCGTAGTATCGCATCGTTCTATCGTAATATCGCAATCTCGATGTCCAGAATCAGCCACCATAACAGACTCTTCTTCATCAGCCGTTCCAACATGGACAGCTTTCTTTCACGCTGTATGATAAGCTTGACGATTTCCATTTCACCGCTGTTTGTTGTGAATTCTCTATTTCTGAATAGCAACAACCCTGTCTGCCCAATCTTTAGTGTTAAAAGGCATGTTCCCATCATCACAATTTCAGTATAAACTCGTAACACAGCGTTTCAACAGATGTAGGTTGATGAAATTAAGAGGAAGATTTACGGTCATAACAGTGATAACATTAAGAAATATTCTATTTCTTTGTACGATACGAAGCTGGACGTGCTTGATGCTCGCTAGGTTGCCGGTTGGTTCCGTTGTTGTATACCTTATTCTCATTTAAGAACGTGACATTACTTGCCAAACATTTACATGGTGGGCTGTGATTTACCCTTCCGGAACACCTGGTCTTATTCTTCATGTATTTTCTCACGGAGTCTCCATGTTAATATTTCCTTAATGATTATAACATTTTTTAAGGAAAGTACTTATTTTGTTGTGTATAACGGCTTTACTTTTCATGTAGGTTGGAGAGTGATGCCACAAAACGCCTAGATTTGTCACACTGTAGCTTCATTGTTTCAGGGATTTGATCACACACTTTAAAATGAACCATATTAACACCGATGTATTTGAATTTCATGTTTGTAGGGTCGAGGTCATTGCTATCATTTTTCATCATATAGAAAGGACAATTAGGTTTCCAGACAGATATATTACAGAATGAGCAATACTTCTCATAGGTGAGAAACAGAAAGATGGAGAGGACTTGTAAAAGGTGGAAATCAATGCAAAACTATAAACAATTTTTCGCTTTTTTACATTTTATTTATGAAAAAAATACAAACATAACAATTGAGGATATTGAATTGGATAATGAAAATTGAATATTCCATTGACTTGTATACTACTTTCAGTAATTATTTTCCAAAACATTTTAATATAATTACTGATATTAAGATGTTGATTGTGAATGCTATGTGTATTTGAATTAAAGCATTTTAATTCTAGCACTCTGAGTAGGGTTAGATTTATTAGCACCACCTTAAATTCATGCAAAGACAGCAAGAGTAATTTTCAAATTAGCAGTAATATACTTTTCTGATACGCCCTGTAATTTCTGATGTGACCTTAAAAAGCAACAATACAGGTAAGACGAGTCGTGTTTATTATGAAACATCCTTTACTATATAAGTGAGAAAACCATTCTAACTAACCAACAGTACATGGTACTGTGTGTATTATACAGTGTTCAACTCTAAAATGCTTTATGTGTTGTATTTTTATGCCCAGTGACAGAACTGAGAACTTTTACTGCAAATTTGACTTGACAACATGACTTGAACATGAAATGTTAGAATACTGCTAAAACAGTTCACATACAGTATATTTTGATCACACACAATTTGTTAACAAGGATATACATGTACTTTGATCGGAATTCAATTAATTGTATTTTGAGACAGCTTAATCACCTGGTCACTTGTACACGTGAAGTGATATCAGTGTAGAAATATGTTCTCAATGTATAACTAGATAAGGTGGGGCAGTCTTACTGGTAGTGATCATTTGGACATTGATTATTGTTTATTCCAAAAAGATAAAAATCTGTAGATATTCATAATTGCATGATTTTCTGCCTTAATATGAAAACAGTGTTATCAGAAAGCATTTGTTATTTTTGTGTTGCCTTATCTATTACTATGAATTATGTTACACAAAACACCACTGCATACTTCTGTAAGAAATATCAGATAACACAGGATAGACTCATACAAAGTGATACTATTAGAAAAATAAATAAAGATGAATTTATAATTTTTTACACACTTTCAAAAATCAATGTGATTTGAGGTAATGAAGTATGTTTCGTAATCCTTTTCAGGATTTAGGAATCGTTAAGAAGACAACACACACAGGTACAAATCAGTAGTGAATTATTGTTGTCATTACCAGAAATTATTAATATTCTTTACAACTTGTAAACTTTTCTTCAAATTATTTAGTATATTATATTAATTGTCATTTTTTAAAACAGAAACCTGATTTAACTTGCACAGCTTGATAGCCACTATATTCCCAGGTCTGAAGAGTTATGTCCCTTTGTTACCTTGTCATTCCCCTGCTTTTGAAATAAAAAAATCATGGACATTAGAATATTCAAATCTTCCTTATATGTATATGAGATGAAAAAGTGGTTTCTAAAGTCTTCAGCATTTTCCATGGGAAAATTTAATTCAATTTTGCTGAAATTTCAAAATGGACTGATACAGACTTGGCGTGACATTGTTATTCAGATTTTGAAACTGAAAAAAAAAATGAAAAAAAAAAAACAACAACAAAAAAATTAAAAAAAAACGGTTCAGGTATACAAAATTAAACATTATAACTACATTCTGAGTATCTAACTACATCATGGTCATAACACTGCCACATCTACAGAGTCTTTATCATCAGTTGTATTGTCGTCTGATTGGTTGCCTGATGAGACATCTTGTCCCTCTTCTGTTTTCTGTTTTTTCTTTGCTCTTGTGTCTGCAAGTACTTGTTCTATTGTCCTGTGGTCTTTCTTATTTTCACTTGGCACTGAAAAATACAGAGACAAATTGAGATCTAACTCATAGTCCCTAAATATAGATTCTGTGAAGGTCAGTTTAGATTATTAATTCAGAGGTCATGGTTAATCTTGGGAATCACTTCAAAGGTCAAGGTTAGTCTGTAGTAGTTATACTGAGTGCCACTCTCTAACATGAAAAGGGATATCACTTTCATTACATATATTAGTTCAAGGACATTTTGAGGTTAAAATCTTTATCTGATCACAGACCTATCATAGATTGATAAACATAATCTACATGTACATATATTTTGGCTTTATGGTGAACAGACTAATTTGCGTGACTCTCTCAGTTTACTGGGACTAAACCTCAAACATGTGTCTCCATAAGTATCCAAATATACAGGTATATACACTACATTTATGATGTTTTGCAGCAAAATTTGGCAATCATTAATGACTACATATAAAGCACATTTAAATCCCCCAGGAAACGTATGTACTATCAACTACATAGTAATAACTTACTTGGAGCAATATCAGGAATATTTTGAATAGATATTCTCCTGACCATTTATTGCAAGTTTTCATATATTCAAATTTCTAATTTTTATTCCTTTGCTATGTATCATAATACATTTGTTATATAAATGACTCACCAAATCCATAAGCTTTGTTTGCTGTTGTGGTTCTTGCAGCCTTTTTCGCAGCCTCGTCACCAATAAGATGGCGATATTTATCCTGGTAATTTGAAGCAGGCATCATCTTTGGTTGTTTTACTCTTGATTCTGCTTCCTCTGACAATCTGTCCATCTCCTGCAAAGGAAAATGACATATAGTGATGTTATAGTGCAACAAGTTGTATTAATATTCTCACAAATAGTCCCACATCATCTCCTCATAATCATAGATTCACAGTAATACACCAACAACCAACTTTTGATGTTGATAAATACAAGCCCTGGTAACCTTGTGATGTTAGATATACAGAACCTGGTCACCTTGTGATGTTAGATATACAGGTCCTGGTCACCTTGTGATGTTAGATATACAGGTCCTGGTCACCTTGTGATGTTAGATATACAGGCCCTGGTCACCTTGTGATGTTAGATATACAGGCCCTGGTCACCTTGTGATGTTAGATAGACAGGCCCTGGTCACCTTGTGATGTTAGATATACAGGTCCTGGTCACCTTGTGATGTTAGATATACAGCCCTGGTCACCTTGTGATGTTAGATACCTGGTCACCTTGTGATGTTAGATATACAGGTCCTGGTCACCTTGTGATGTTAGATATACAGCCCTGGTCACCTTGTGATGTTAGATATACAGGTCCTGGTCACCTTGTGATGTTAGATATATAGGACCTGGTCACCTTGTGATGTTAGATATACAGCCCTGGTCACCTGGTCACCTTGTGATGTTAGATATACAGGTCCTGGTCACCTTGTGATGTTAGATATACAGGTCCTGGTCACCTTGTGATGTTAGATATACAGCCCTGGTCACCTTGTGATGTTAGATATACAGCCCTGGTCACCTTGTGATGTTAGATATACAGCCCTGGTCACCTTGTGATGTTAGATATACAGGTCCTGGTCACCTTGTGATGTTAGATATACAGGCCCTGGTCACCTTGTGGTGTTAGATATACAGGTCCTGGTCACCTTGTGATGTTAGATATACAGAACCTGGTCACCTTGTGATGTTAGATAGACAGGACCTGGTCACCTTGTGATGTTAGATATACAGGTCCTGGTCACCTTGTGATGTTAGATATACAGGACCTGGTCACCTTGTGATGTTAGATATACAGGTCACCTTGTGATGTTAGATATACAGGTCCTGGTCACCTTGTGATGTTAGATATACAGGACCTGGTCACCTTGTGATGTTAGATATACAGGCCCTGGTCACCTTGTGATGTTAGGATAGACAGGCCCTGGTCACCTTGTGATGTTAGATATACAGGCCCTGGTCACCTTGTGATGTTAGATATACAGGCCCTGGTCACCTTGTGATGTTAGATATACAGAACCTGGTCACCTTGTGATGTTAGGATATACAGGCCCTGGTCACCTTGTGATGTTAGATATACAGCCCTGGTCACCTTGTGATGTTAGATATACAGGTCCTGGTCACCTTGTGATGTTAGATATACAGGTCCTGGTCACCTTGTGATGTTAGATATACAGGACCTGGTCACCTTGTGATGTTAGGATACACAGGCCCTGGTCACCTTGTGATATTAAATATACAGGCCTGGTCACCTTGTGATGTTAGGATAGACAGGCCCTGGTCACCTTGTGATGTTAGGATAGACAGGCCCTGGTCACCTTGTGATGTTAGGATATACAGGCCCTGGTCACCTTGTGATGTTAGGATAGACAGGCCCTGGTCACCTTGTGATGTTAGGATAGACAGGCCCTGGTCACCTTGTGATGTTAGGATACACAGGTCCTGGTCACCTTTTGAGCCCACGACCACCATTAACATCCCTATGTTCATTCATACATATTTTTTTCCTATTAATACAGAATACATGAAACCGTTCAGACATCTTTTCCCAGTAGAAAACTGTTGTTGAAAAGCTTGAAGCTGTTAATTATTTGCCAACATATATTTGGAAGGACACTTCTTACCTTTTGTTTGGCTATTTCCTTTGCTTTATCTGGATCCCAATCCTCTCCTTTCCTGTAGGCAGCTAGTTCCTCATCAGAAGGTGCAAACTCCTGTAAACCAAAACATTACTTTAAACATTAATATATGCTGTATCACCGATAGAGGGTTCAAGGTTCATTAATAAGACGAAGACAGGTACAGTGCGGTTGAATGGTCAGGTAATTTAGACAAACTCCAGAACCCAGATTGTTAAAATCAGCGAGTTGGAGTTCATCGGTGATTTTCATGTACTGATGGATACTTAGTGACTTTGTCTTACTTATGAATCTTGTGTATATAATTATCATTACTTTGGCCAAACAAATGACGCTGGTAACAATCTTTTTTTTCTGAAAATTTTGTTTCTGTTAGTTTCAAAATGATTGTGTTTTACATTGAGAGATTCATGACAATAAACATGTGTATGGTACTTTGGAATAAGAAGAAAACCCATGGAGACGATTGGGGCACTTACTTGAAAGGAAACAGATGCTTGCTTACAGCATGAAAATCTTACATAAATGCATTACACTATATAACTTGCTAAATAGGCCACTTATCAACAGAGTTTTATTATGAACTAAAAACATAAGGCCCAAAGGCCTAAACGATCATCTGACCACAAAAACTTTTGACAAGGAGAAGGGTTATTTTTTCTATTTTTAATGAAATCTTACTATGAAGCTGTTTCCCATGATGCAGATGGTAGTTTTGGGGAGGAGAAGTGGGTTTTTTGCGATAAAGTTGGAGATCAATCTCACTGGTGGAACTTGAGAAGAAGTTTAAAATGTTAAAAGTTTATGCAATGCAGAAGGTGCATGGCGGATTGTGCACGGTAGAAAACGACAGACAAGGCACAATGGCTTTAGGTCATCATCACCCTGGAGGTCAGATGACTTAAAAAATACTTTATTTGGTAGCTTTTTATTCTGACATTTCAGATTATTTACCTTTTTCCACAACATGACATAACGATCTTCCTCCTCCAGTCCAAATGAGAAAGAAGTCATTCCAGCCACATCTGCAATCTCATGTCTGTGTACAAAAATAAAACAGACTTCAAACATTTTCCATCTTGTATCATCTTTCTTTTCTGCAGGAAAATACATAAATACACCTAGTACTTCGAGAGTTAGCTTTCTCGATAATTGGTTATCAGGTTTGTATGACTCAAGTAGCCATTATTGTTGTTCAATACTGTCATTCATTTGTTTACTTATCTTTCCAAATTATTGCTGTTTGTAAACCTAAAATTTATCAGGACCAAATCAACGCTCCAAAAGTATGTGGTTTTAAGGGTGTAACTCCAGTACACAGAAGCATGTGTTCTTATAACCACAATAAATGCTCAAACCACACAAACCAGATCTATCTGTATTCTGTTGTTTCCTCTGAATGCCATATCAAAAAGTGACTTTAATAGTACTTTATAAGGTAGTAATTACACATTTACACATGTTGGCTGAATGTGGATTATAAAGGGATAATGAAACTAAGAAGCATTAGAGCATGTTATCTAGATGTCATATAAAACAAAACTCACACTATAGCTCGAAAACATTTGTCCATGGGTTCAAAACTATACTTCTGCTTGCTTCCATCCTTTACAAACTCATGAATCCTCTTCCTAATCTGGAAAATAAGTATAAAAGTTGATATACGGTTACCATGGAAAAGTAAACCAATAAATACTCAGCATTCTATGTTGATAATCACAATAACAGAAAAAGTAATAGGTCAGACCTATGACTCATCCCTAAACCTAAATACTCTCATGTGCTGGTGAGGTACTGGGTATGATTTCATTTTTCAATGTGATACTTAATCTGTGTTTATATCAGAAGGACAATATCTTGTAGGGAAAATAAATTTTGACATATTTGACCCCTGTGACCTTGAAAGCAGGTCAAGGTCATTTATATAAATAAACTTCGTAGCCTTTCATTCCATCATGCTACATGTCCAATTTCAGCACCCTGAGCCTTATGGTTATTGAGATGAAGTTGTTTAAACAATTTTTTGTTTAAACAATTTAACATATATAACCCCTGTGACCTCGAAAGCAGGTCAAGGTCATCATATTAACAAACCTGGGAGTCCTTTATCTGGTTATTGAGAAAAAGTGATTAGAAAGGAAAGTTTGCGTTGGTTATGTCCCTTTGAATTTAGACCAGCTCCCTCTGGTGGGCCAGACCCGTAAACTTCATCATTTTGAACTGCCTTTCCTGAGGAATATTTTCGGCAAATATGATTAAAGTTAGCTTGCCTATTTCTTTATGGAGATCTTGAAATAGAGACAAGGTTTATGCACCATGCTTGATATGATGAACGTTGAAGAAATGAACTGCTTGGAAAAGGTCATCCTGCCCCTTCAGGTCAGACGACTTAAAAAATTAACACAGCCCTTAATTTTGTACCTCATCAAAGTATAAATGAATCAAAGTATCTAATAACAACATTTCACAACATGTCTTTGAACAAATACACAATTCCCCATGTGAACTTTTAATCCCTTACTTACCTTTTCCCTGAAATCGTCTAATTTCTTTTTTTCAGCCTGCTGATGTTTTTCTAACCTTGCTTTCTGTTCTGGAAATATAAATCACATACTGTTATATATAAATTTGATAGTTTTCTTGTCTGTTAGCTATTACTTTATCAATCACATACGTGTATCTAATACATCACCTGTAAACTTTATCAACTGAAAGTGTCAAACATAAAATATTCAGACGTACATGACAAAAGAAATAATGTTATAAATATAATCTTTATTTTACAATAACTGTGAGACAATTAAGCCATAAGCCTATATTAATCATTCTTGTTGGCCAAGAAGCATGTGAGGGGTCTCACTGTGGGAGGAAACTGCAGTAGGCAGGTGATCAGGTCCACTCTGTGAATCACACACCACATGTCTAGGAGAGAGGCAAGTATGTAACCATTTTGCCACCTGACTACTCTAATAATATCATGAAGTCATACAAATATTCCTTTTTACAATGTCAGAATTGCCATACATACCAGGCTAATTAACATATAGATGACAGAGATATAATATAAAGCCTTCTCTTAACATGGTTGCACAAATGCATGTGAAGAAAACAACCTTGTTCAGTTAATCTTTTGCATCATACAACACTCTAAATGTGTCTGCACTGTTCACTATTCTTTCATGACATTGACAGTGACATTAAAATACACAATACAAGATTGCAGATAATTCATTTAAGGACAAAACAATCAGAATTGTCTGCTCCATTACAACACTCCACTCTAATATATCTAAAATACAGCCAACGACACTGTTGCTAGAAGTGGTAAATAAATAAAAAGGTGTTTCGCCTTTCACCTGGATACCCGAGGGGATTGACTAATAAGGGTGAGCTAAAATCAGGCAAAATCAATCTCAACAGGCTGGAGACCGGTTCTTCAATATTTTATAAGATAGTCTGTCTACCGGTTTCATCCTTACTGTTGGACTTCTTCTGGACCCACTCTGTTACAATGGTGCAGTCTGCTTGTAACAAAAAATATATATGGAATTTCATTTGGAAAATAGCATATCAGGGATTACTCTAGATAAGTTTTACTGGGTGGAGGCCGAGAAAACAGAAGTATTTCTCAAAAGATATATTTTCCACCTGAATATAAACAATTTCCCCACCAATAAAACAAAATGCAAACATGTGAAAATTTGCCCAAAAACAGTGTTAATTAGTATATTTCTACTTAACATATTTTCGATTCAGGCTATCATAAAAAGGAAATGCCAATCTAAACTCAATGTTACATCTACATGTAGGTTAAAGTTTTGCCTCTATCCCTTCTTTGAACTATGACCCAAAGGGATGCCCATTTCTGAAAATAGACAAAAAATTTGCCTTTTTCCACAGTTGGTAGTATTCCCAACATGCAAACGTATTAACGAAAATTTCTTGCCATATAAATTTACGATACATCGAGTTAAAGATGCTTTACAGTTTTAATTACACGACTCTTTCTGAAGTAGGGTCGTTTTTAAACTGTATAGTCAGTAGTAAAAACCTTTGGCTTGTGTTATTGTAATACATATGTACAGACTTAAAAAAAAAGATTTACTTCGATGATTTATTGGTAGATTATCTTTAAAAAATTGAGAGTCCATAGAAATTAAAGATTTTGTTATAAAAGTTAGCATGTTCAATTTGAAAGATGCTCAGCTTCAAACTCTTGATTTCAAAAGAAAAATAGTTATACGTGTCACCTTGGTAAAATACTAGCCGCAATATACCACTCGCCTAGAGAAAATAATGACCTCTGTTACATTGACGCCTATGTGGGGACCCGGGAATAGTACTTAGCCATGCCCCATCAGCATCGCTGTAACCCCTGGAAACTCGAGGACCACCAGCGTTACTTTCACAAGTACCACTGTGACCCCTGGACACTCGAGGACGAGTTATTTCCTACAGAGGGAGTATGTAACCATGGTAAAATACTAGCCGCAAAATACCACTCAGCTAGAGAGAACTTCTCCTTAGCTCGATTGGTTGAGTGTCAGACTAGTAACCCAGGGGTTCCAGGTTCGAATCCTAGAGGAAACATTGAAATAAATAATGACCTATGTTATATACAAATAGGTTAACTCAGTGTATATAGGCCTATAATGGCTTAAATTTACAGATCTAGAGATATCCATCTGTGGACAGTTACTCGTTTTATATAACAGTAAGGTTGTAACTAGCAAAGAAAGCATATAATTTTGTGTTTTGAGTCCACAGTTTCATATGTGTATGGCAGGTTCCTTGTTTACTTTTGTTATAACACTCTTTGAACCGACATAAACAGTCACAAGTGGGGACGAACTGGGGTGGGACGAAACGTCCAAATTTAACACTATACCGGTGAACATTCCCGATCAATATTTGTTACATACTCATCGTTCAGGTGCTCCTAAATTAACCGTAATAAGATACTTCACTACACCAATGTACCTTTGACTTTCTTTTTTTCTGCATCACCCATTGTAGGTGGTTTCTGCATAGATCCTAAAATAGACCCTAACAGGTCCATGTTTATGCGTATTAGAACAACACGAGGATTTCACATGATGTACTCCACATATAATTTCATGTTATCAAATTATTTGAAAATATAGAGACAATTTTTCTTATTTATGCATATTATGGAAGTAACTATTAAATACATATCTTAGTCTCCTTCAATTCATTTTTCTTATGAGTGTGTTATTATATAAAGTGGGAAATTATTCAGTGGCGTATCAACGCCTGTTTTGTGCGGTCCTTCAATCACCTTGTGTTTCGACCCTGTTTCGACCCTGCCGATTGTGGAAAATAACACGATCGGCAACAATGGTCGTGTTCAGCTCTCTTCGTCCCGCTGCACGGGGAATAAATGCAGTCATACCAGCTTTGAGACATTCATTGGAGACAACGACTCTAAAACAAACAGGACCTGGTAAATTTGTCACATGTTCAAACGAATTCCAAATGGGTTTGAAGCTTCAAACACATATAATATCACTATTTTGACAAAAGTAACTTTTTACAGTAATTGCATTGATATTGTAGATCAAAACGCATGGTTTTATTATCTTAGTGACTGCAATCTTTTTAAAATCACACAATGCAAAACTCAATTTCCAGACCTTACTAGAAAAATTACGTGGAGAGTTCTCAGGGTTTTATTTCAAATTGTTTCAGTTGTCATGTCGATCCGAGGGGCAGCCGGTAGAAGAATGATATTACGGCCTGGCATTTACCTCGATCGGAAATGGAGGGATAGTGTGGTTTGTATCTTCAGATGTATTTACTGGGTTTATCGCCCCATGAACAGTAAAGGTCATTCTGAGGTGAAATCTTGTAGTAGCTGATGGCTGTCTCACTGAACAGCATATGGGAGGCACCTCGCATGCTGTTCAGAGCCATTAGTGTAAAATGTCTTGCTCAAGGACACAACCATGTCAGCACAGACCGATCTGTTTCTCAGTTTCCTGAAAAACACAAACTGTCACATGTAGCAAGCGTTGAACCACATACCTTTGATCATTAAGGCCCATACTAATTGATGCTCCCACAGAACTTCAGTTTCTTGTTTTGCCCTCTTTTTAATGAGTTCCATTTTTGAACCACTTATATACAATGTAGTTATTCAGGCAAAAATTTCAGTAGCAGATAATGATGGAAGTTATCTTTTAACGTACATTATACATAAATATTTTATAAATTCCCATTAATTGTTACTACTTTAATGTTGTAGCATTTCTTCCTGTTACTGGGAACTTTACCAGTTCTGATGGCGATCACATTTGCCAATCTATTTATGGGTAAGTCACACATTAATCAAACTTGTGTTCAAAATTGTTTGATGAACATATAACATGATGTATCAACATCAGTCTCATTTATACCTATAAATAAGTACCATTGTTAAGTAAGTTAATCAGTAATTAATTGTATTTTTCAGCTCAAGGTGAATTAACAGACTTACCTGAAGATCACAACCCTCAGACTTGGGAATTTCATCAGGTAAATTATGTCAGATTTTTAAAAATATATTTTTCAAATTTTGAAGGAATATATTATAGTATACTGTCTGCATCAGTCTGTCCATCTAGAAGTCTGTCTGTCCATCAACCATTTTTTTTACTTTGGGTTTCTTTAGTAGTCTACAGTTAGTCAGATCATGTATTATTATCCTAACTTGATGGTTCTAACAATGATTATATACATTCAAATTGTTAGAATTATTTCTGTTCTATCACTGTATTTTTGCCTCCATTTTCATTTAAAAACATGTAAAGTTCTACACTATATTTCCTGATGATATAAGATGGAGTAAGTGCCACACAGGTTCTGTTGTGGTCAATAATTCATTTCCTGGTTATGTACTGTACCGTGTGTATATAGATGTTGACTAGAATAAAGCATAGACAGAATGTATCTGTACCTTTTCCTCTGTGTTGTGAGATCATCACATGTAGAAGTAAATTTCTTAATGTTTCCCAGCAGACAAGTTAGTGTAATTTTGTCTGTATTTGACATTCATTTCAGTAACATTTGGTTTATGCAGGTTAATGTTTCATGCTAGTTATCCTTCAGGGATAAGATAGAAATATTTAATCAGTGGTTTGGACATTTATGTCCAGTGGAAATGAAAAGAAAGAAAGAGAAAGAAAGAAATTTAATTGCAATTTGTCATGCTGAAATTATAAGTAATATATCTGTTTTAAGTGCACGATGTTCACATGACATTTCAGAAATCATGCCTTTTTTTGTGTTACCATTGTAGTGATTATTAAGGTCATTGTGTCTTTGTTTTTTATAGCATCCCATCACCAGGTTCATTGCCAAGCATATTGTGCGTTCTCCTGAGAAGCTGTATGAAACACAAATGGCCGCCCTTTATAAACAGGATCAGAAGAGGAAATTAAGGTTTGGAATCAAATATGCCATATCATGGGCAGGGTCATATAGCATTTGATGTCCGTCTTTTTGTCACTCTGTCTTTTCATACTCGAGTTAGGATTTGTAAGTCTGTTTCTCAGTCAGTAAGGAATTATGTTTATAGGTGACTTATCTTTTGCAAGTACAATGAAACTTCTCCATTAAAGATGCATGGGACATGAACATTTGACTGGTGTAGGGAGGACTAACTTTATTCAACAATATTCAAACGTTAATTTAGAAGTATATTTATAAAGGTACATCAGAGACACCAAAAGATTTTTCTGAACTCTAAATTAGCTTAGTATTACATTAATTCTGATCATTAGAATGTTTCTTGTCCATTGAAGTTCACTCAATAGTACAAATAATCTTCTATCTAAGTTATGTAATAATACAAGAAGATTATGTTCAAGCTATATTCAGAAATGTTTGTTATATTTTTTCATTGCCATTCTGTTCATTACTTATATTGACTTTGATAATTTAGCCTGCACATGGCCAAATTACTGATTGCATAAAGAAACTTTATCCCAGAGGTATCTTGGTGCCCACATTTTGATGATCTTTATTGGTTCTATGCAAGTCTGATCTTTGCTTTAATATTCCCATCTTTCCCCTATACCTGTTAATCCTTTGTTAATAAGGGAATCCTGTATATAAAATTATAAAATATATGAAAGATCTTTTATACAAGAACTTATTAGAAATAGCAATAACAATCTTCAACTGTCAAAATCCAAAATGGTCTCCAGTCAGCCATTTTACTGGCTTAAGCAGATGCAAACAGCCATTTTATTTTGCTGATTAGTCCCAAAATCAAAATGACACAGTAAGGACCAAAGGGAATGTACCTATAGTATTTGGGATAGATCCATTTAGGTCTTCTCAAGAAATAGCAATAACAAACTTTCATTGTCAAAATTCAAGATGGCCACCTATCAGTTACTTTACTTTCCTGATCAGTCTGAAAATCAAATGGGCACAACTAGGGACCAAAGGGGAACTTCATCGTGTATGTATGAAATATGAAAGACATTCATTTTGGAACAGTACTCTAAAAAAATAGCAAGAAATGTTTGTAGTTTAAAAATACACTGACAACAGACCTCTGATGTAGAGTGATTGGAATAGTCAACCATCTGATGATGGTGGGTTAAAAGGTACAGTGTCAATCTTTCTTCCAGCTATCTTCACACATTCCATGAACTGTTAACAGTTAATACTTAAACTGAAGGGGTTTTTTGACAGTCATTCAAATGTGTAGGTATACTACTGTACTTCACTGAATATTTGATAACCTCAGAAAGTTTCATTGAACGTTGAACATTTAACACTGGACAAGAAGTACATAGGAGATATGATGTCCATATGTCTCTCTGGGAGATATGATGAAACACGGTCCATTTATCTGTCCCTCTGGGAGGTATAATAAAATGTTGTTTACCTATCTGTCCCTCTGGGAGGTGTAATGAAATGTTGTTTACCTATCTGTCCCTCTGGGAGGTGTAATAAAATGTTGTTTACCTATCTGTCTGTCTGGGAGATGTAATGAAATGTTGTTTACCTATCTGTCCCTCTGTGAGATGTAATGAAATGTTGTTTACCTATCTGTCTGTCTGGGAGATGTAATGAAATGTTGTTTACCTATCTGTCTGTCTGGGAGGTGTAATAAAATGTTGTTTACCCATCCTTCCCCCGGAGAAATGTAATAAAATATTGTCTGTCCATCTGTCCCCTAGGAGATATAATGGGATATTGTCTGTCTGTCCCCCTTGGAAATATTATGAAATGTTTTCCCTCTATCTGTACATTTTGTGTCTGATATTAATGTTCAATGACTTCTACATAACCTAACTTTGTGACTTCACTGATATGAAAGTTGCCATTGTAAAATAATTTTACATGTTATGATGATGAAAAAAGGAAGCTTTACTTAAATATTTTCAATCATCAATTGAAATAGTTGTCTGATAAACACAGCCTTTTGTTTGGTGATTCATATACAGTAGAAGATTTTATTGTTTTAATATTTCGTTGTGATTGGTCGAGTATTTGCTTAACATGGCGTAGTTTAATTTGTTTTTTTTATCTGTATAAATAATTGGTTTATCTCCCACCATGTTAAAAATGATTGTAGGAAATACTGTAAGATTTCTGTCCAAGTACCCAACCTACACAAGTCAACCTGTACTGGATTACCATTCATAATTCAAATATTAAAATAAATACTGAGTTATAAAGTTTAATGAATTAAATAATATGTTTTATCATCTAACCCTGCTGGCTTTGACAGGATATGAAGTTATAAATAATGATATAGTTTTCAGTCTTGTGGAGGATCTGAGATCCAGGCCTCACGTTCTTCAGTTTAGAAATACATTTTGCTTTACTACCTTATAGTTAGTTCAAAGATCAAAATGTAGGTCGGAGTGACCTACATTTGTACATGACACACAGCCTCACCCATCTGAGCTCACACCTGAAGTCTGAAATGTCAGTGACTTGTAATGTAGGAACATGGGACAATTTTTTACTTTGATGTAAGTCAAAGGTCAAACTATATATTTGTTGGTCAGAGTTACCAGTAATGTAGGAGACTGGACAAGCTTTTATTTAAGTCAAAGGTCAAACTATACATTTGTTGGTCAGAGTGACCTACTAACCAAGATGGACCCAGACTCCAAGTATAAAGTTCCAGCGAAAAGGAGTGAAGGAGATTCAGCCCTTGAACCTTCTATATTGTGCTTCATCTTCTTCACATCTATTCACTAGAACTTCGTACTTTGGGAATGGTTCATCTTAATAAGGCTGTGCGTCATGTATTAAAAGTAGGTCACACTGATCTACATTTTGACCTTTTACCATCATCAAACATAAAATTGTCTGGACTCAATATCCTATGCATCACTGAATCTTTGTATTTGGTTTATGGGTTCATCTCTGTGTTAATAAGTCAAGTTCTTGTGTTTCTTTCAGAATGAGGCTATAACTACTTGTATAAATATGATGGGATAAAATGTTTTATTTTCAGGCTACTTGAAAGACAGGTAAAACGTGTGATGTTGGACCGACAGGATGTTCGTGGATGGTATTTCTTCCAAGCAGCCACTGATGCTAGACAGATATCAGCTGATAATATTGGCGAACAGATAGGAACACCTTCCTAAGACTTTTATTAATTTGAGTGAGTGAGCGAGTGAGCATGCTGTTGTTTTTGTATTTCCAACAGACTAAATTGGATCTGGTGATTTCACATGCTCTTGTGATGTCTATCAGTAATAAATTCTTGTACCTTGACTCAGTGTTGTCACATTCTTCACATGCTTTGAAAAAATAAATTGTTTCTAGAATTTCATTTTTGACATTTTCACTTGAGTGAGGTTATAGCATATCACGGGCCATGTTTTCCGTCCTTGTTCATCATGAACAACTGTGTGAATTTTAACTAAATTTGGTCAGAAGCATATTAGGGGTAAAAGTATTTAATGTTGTATAAATTAGCCACAGGGATGGGACCCAACAGGGAAACTTTGCAAATTCTTAAAAATCCTTCTGTAGGAATGATAACATTTTGTCCAAATTTCGTCTGAAGCATCCTTGGGTGATGGTAAAAACTGTGTCAAAACATCTGACGTAGGATGGGTAGAGTTCAATAGGACAAATGGGGTAAATTATTTAAAATTGTGCTTCTGGTGGAATACCTGCATCCTGTTGCAATGTGGTATATCTGGGTTAAGGGGATTAAATTTTTAACACTGGATCTCTGTCCCCCGAAGCTGAAGGGGCAGGGCCCATAAGGCCAATGCTTCTAAATCTTTGTTCTTTGCAGAAATGCCTGGATTTTGTCCTAATTTGATCTGAAGTATCCTGTGAAGATCCACCATTTATACAAAATTGATTCCCCTCAATCCAAGAATGCCTCAAACCAAATTTGGGCAATATCCATTCTTCATTCCTACAGGAGTACTCCATGTCACCTATTGGTGCCCCACCTCACAGGGCCTGAATCAACTGTTTATACAGAACTGATAACGATTCACCAAAGAATACTTCAGAAATTTGAGTAATATCCTTTCACTCCTACAGAAGTAGGATTTTGAATAATTGACTCTTATCTGACCTCACCCTAAGGGTCCAATAAGGGAACTTATCATCAATCTTTTTATTCCCACACTTCCTTACCATCACCCTCAGCACCAATCTTAATTATCATATTCTCCTCTAATATCACTCATCACCAATCATTTTATTTCCCCACTCTCTTACCATCATCCTCATCATCAATCTTAGTTATTACACTCTGTTCTAACATTATTTTCCTCACCAATCTTTTTATTACCCGGTTTTCTTACCATCATCCTCAGCACCAATCTGAATTATCACACTCCTCTAACATCACTCATCACCAATCTTTTTATTCCTACACTCTCTTACCGTCATCCTCAGCACCAATCTGAATTATCCTAAACTTCCATCATCATCATAAGATGTCACACTCTCCTCTAACATCACTCATCACCAATCTTTTTATTCCTCCACTCTTTTACTTCCATCATCATCATAAGATGTCACACTCTCCTCTAACATCACTCATCATCATTCTTTTTATTCCTCCACTCTTTTACTTCCATCATCATCATAAGATGTCACACTCTCCTCTAACATCACTCATCATCATTCTTTTTATTCCTCCACTCTTTTACTTCCATCATCATCATAAGATGTCACACTCTCCTCTAACATCACTCATCATCATTCTTTTTATTCCTCCACTCTTTTACTTCCATCATCATCATAAGATGTCACACTCTCCTCTAACATCACTCATCACCAATCTTTTTATTCCTCCACTCTTTTACTTCCATCATCATCATAAGATGTCACACTCTCCTCTAACATCACTCATCACCAATCTTTTTATTCCTCCACTCTTTTACTTCCATCATCATCATAAGATGTCACACTCTTCCTTTGCTACTTTATGTGATATTAATAATTGACCAGATAATCTGTTTGGGACTAGTGGATGGTTTCCCTCTCTATTCGCTCTCGACAACAAATTACAGACAATAGTTCCAAGGAAAACTGAACTGACTAAACTACTACCAGCTCAAGACCATGTCTTAAATAATTCAGCAAACACCATACAGTGGCAATCCTTCACTTTTATTTCAACATTATATTTTTCTTTCACAGTTGTATCTCTTCATCAATCACAAAAATGAACAGTAATCAAAATGCACCTTCATAACAACTCACAAGCAGCATATACAGAGAGAGAACAGATTTCTTTGCTACATAACATCAGATAACCATGGTAACACAAGGATACATTTGTATCTAATGGAACACACAGGGTTGGAGAATGCTATGGTATATACCATATTAAACCTTCAATAGGTCAGAGACGGGATACATGGGCTTGTTTTATAACAATAACATGAAGAATGGGTTTATAATTTCACTTAACAGCTATATGTATGAATGGACTTCTTGCCAGGCATGGGTTTGTAATTGAATAAATACGGTGACACAAATGAGAAGATTTGTGTTATATAGAGAGACGAAGGTTGTCTGTGTTAAAATTCAACTGTTAAATCCGTTGAATAGATAAAGAGATTTCTGTGTTTTAACACTTTGTGTATGCATTTTATAACTACCATATTTTGAAGACATCCAAATCCAACATATTTATCATTACTACACTTCATCAACCTGCCATCAATTTTTTTTATTTTGAATTTTCTGTCAAAACCTAAAGCTACATACATAAAAGAAATTCGGAGTAACATGGATATAAAACTGTTTGAAAATTAATTAATTTAGTAAAAGAAATTGGAATTTATCAAATCACAGGGATCGTGGAGCTCACCTTTGTTTGAACAAGGTAAGAATGATGAAACCTGTACTGAAGGAAACACAATTAACACAAGAATCATTCTGGATTGATGTTCATGTTAATCAACTTGGCCATTTACTAGAATAACCATCGTAGATCCAACTGGTCAGATATACAAATGCATACCTGGCTCATTTTTTAAATATTTATTTTAATCTTTTCCAAATTAGTTTCAATCATATTTATTTTAATAATACAAATTATTTGATATTTTTGAGCAGCTGGTCTTTTTTTCCCCGCTAAAATTAAAGACTGCATGTTGTTTTATACCACATTATACTGTGGAGAGTGAAAAAACCCTTTACCATTGAACATATCCTATGTACTGACATTGCTGAAGCCCAGGCCACTTATGGATACCAGATTACCCTGACAAGAAGAAGAGGGTGGGTGTATTATAAATAATGAAATAAAATTTGCTGGAATTTCTCAAGACAGCAATGTGAGAGGACTAATTACAGGACATGGACCTACAGCTGAATACAGTAATATAGTTCATCGAAGGTTGATAATACTGACCAGGCATCTACAGAACAGTCAATACAATCATAACAGACCAAGATTTAAACAATAAAAAATGAAACGGAACACAATTCATAATTCTGATATGCAAGTAAATGAACATTTGAGGAATTCTCTATATTATCAAAATAATATCATTCTCATCATTCAATCTCAGCTCTCCCCCTCGCCCAAGTTAGGTAGAAGATTTCATCTTATCACCCTTAGTCGCTATTTCTGAATTATCTCCCTTGACAAGCATTGTGTTTGTGAACATGACAGTATGAGGAGATAAGCCACATTTATTAAGAAGTTCCTCCCTTGTTGCCAATTTCATTGGGGACCTTGTTACACGTTTCTTCCTGGGACTTGGCTTCAGTGGTTTTGCAGAGATGGGAATAATCGTTAAATCAGCCTTGGAACCATGGCTGTCTAACTTTACAGGTGCTTCTTTTGAATTAATTGGCTTAACACTCAAAGAAGCATTCGATACCTTATTCACAATATTGGACATTTTCCTGTTCACACAAGATGGATCCATCAGCTTGGGAGTTGCATTAGCCGAAACTGTCTTAGAGGGAAGATGGGAGGGAGAAATTGAGTTGGGAGTTAAGGTCTCTTGAACAGATTCACTGTGAAATGGACTTGTTTTCGACACAGATGTTCTTTCTTCTTCATCAGATGAAGCCACAACTCCCTTCAGAACATCTGTAGCAATGCATGCAAGCTGTAGCAAGTTGTTCATAGGAGCTAGAGAGTCAAAGTCCTCCACAATACTGTTTAATTTGTTACCTTGAACTTTGACCCTTGATGTTGCTTCAGTTTCCACTTTGTCTTTTGACATCTGGTCATGGGTCATCATTATCTTTGGCATTTCATCTGTAGACCTTGTAACCTTCGTTACTTTGTCAGTTGACACAGGGTCATGTGATATCTTGTCAGGTGACATAGAGAGTCTAGCACTGTCTTGAACACACTTGGTGGCTTTTATTTCTGGCGATAGATTTATTTTTGGTGATGTTTTACGACGTTTTCGTGGGGATTTTACTATTGCATCAGACTGTATTTGTGGTACATTAATAACTGAATTGGAAATTGATGTTTTTTGGGTTGTAAATCCTTGCACTTTGCTCACAGACACTAGGCTGTTTCGGGGCGTCTCTCCATGTGTTTGATCACTATGTTCTCCTACAGATGTATTAAAATCAGGAATTTCAACATTAATGAAGTCACCGTCGTATTTGACTCGCAAAGTTCTTGTAGGGCCTTTCTTTATCGTTTCCATGGATTCATTAGAAATGTTTTCCGATTGTTGTTTTGATTTTTGTTGTTTAAGCTTGGGTTTTGGTTTTACTGTTGGTCTTTGTTGTTTTTTAGGTGATTTTTCTGTTGTGTCTACACAAATGTTCTTTGGAGTTTTATCAACAAATATTTTTGTACCAAAGGGGAGGTCCTTTCCACCATCACAAGAAGATAAGACATTTCCAGTTTGTGTACCAGTAGCTGCTTCTTGGCAGTGAACTTTGACCAAACCTCCTTCATCCAATGGTGGTTTTTTTACCGGCCACCTTACATTGGAAATTTTCCCACAATCCATCAGAACCTTTGACATTTTTGGTACCGTTTTCAGTGGATGTCCTTGAGCTGTTGCAGCGCTGCCCTGTGTTTTTGAATTGTTTCCCTTTTTCTCCTCTTCAGATAAATTAGTTGTCTCCTTTGAGTCCTGATTAGCAACAGATTCTGTTTCAGTCTTGTTTATAATTTTAGTAATTTTAGATGTACTATTTAAAACTGATGATATGGCAGGATTGGGTAATGACACACAGAATTTTTCGGATCCTAAATGAACAATCACTTTCGGGGTTTTTGAATCACATGTGTTCACATCCTCATCCCGTTTGGTTAAGGCATCTTCACTCAGCTTCCTTGTTTTCTCCATCTTACTTAATACTTTTGGTTGAACCATATCATATCTTTCCAATGACTTGGGACTGCAGGATTTTTGTGACAGTTCATTGTTGACCAAGTCATTTTTCATTCTAGGTTGACTATCAGTTGTTTTTTGTTCGAATGTACTGCTTAACTCCGAAGATTTCCTCTTTGACATACCTGGATTTTCCTCTAACGAAGGTTTTAATCTAGAAACTGCGGACAAATCCTTTGATTCATTATGTATTTCTGTTTTACATGCGATATGTAGAGAACCACTGTTAATTTTTTGTGCAAATTCAACTTTGCCCAACTTCTGTGTACCTGTAACTGCAGATATCTGCTGTATCTCTGAATTGAGAGTTGAAGAACTATCACTTTGATTTTGTTGTGATATTGTCCTGATCTCCACAGACGATACAGATTTCTTTGGTTTTCTCATGCTGGTCTTTTTTGGCAGATCTCCTTTCCCAATCATCTTTGATAGATCCGGACAATTGAGAACTACGGGAGCACGTTTTGTTGTAGATTGCATTTTGTCACCAGATGTGATTCCTTTAGCCTTGTTGAGACCCTTTTTGCCTTTTTCTTCATTAAATGACATATCTTTCACATTTTGCTTGTTCAAATCTTGTTTTGTAGTTTGTGTTGTGGCAGCTGGTTTTTTTCCTGGCTTTTTTGCTGGAGATTTCACAGCTGCGTTATTCTGAGGTTTTCCACTATCACCTGTTGTGTGCAAAGCTGTCTTTTGACTGTAGACCATGTTTACCGAGGATAAATCTGAGCCCTCCTTTTGCTGCGATGAAACAGTTGATGCTGTATGACTAGACACACTTGATTGAAGGGTTGTCATGCTAAGGGGAGACAATTTGTTCTTTTTCACTTTCTTTGGAGACTTGCTACCAGGTTTGTTTAGAGAAGAATCACGTCCTTGTGATACTGTGGAAGCTGACTTTTCATCATTTTGAGACAAAATTCCTTCAACAACTGGTTTCAGCTTCAGCATGTGTTGATCTGAACCAGGAGATACTGTATCAACATTGTACTTGACTAGTTTACATTCCAAATTTTCTTGTCCAACTTTACTTCCATCTATATGAGAAATACTAGTCCCACTACCTCCTTTCACTGAAGAATTGTCAATAGACTGTTTCTCAACATTTTTGAAAGTTTGACTACTACACATTCCATTATTATGACTTTCTCCTTCTTTTCTTGTTTCTTCATCACAGTCCTCAGACACTGCAGCATCCAAGTTTTCAAATGTTTCAATCTTTATTACAACAGGATTCTGCTGCTTTTCGTTACTGTCTGTTGAGGCAGAGGTATTTGTATATTCTTCACTTAATAAGCTTGTCTCGTTTGCTTTGTTAGAAAAATCCAAACGTTTCATAGGATCCATTTGTTGTGATGATACAGATTCAGATTTTGAGGAAAATGAATCGTTAGATTTTGATGGTGAATCTGAAGAGATCCGAGAAGGGGTCTCTGACATATAATCATCATCATTTTCAAAAGCATCATTTGATGACTTGCGTTTCTTGATATATGTCCAGCAGTGATTTTTACGTCTTGATTTTCTCTTGAGACCCTTTGGCCAACCCTTTCTGTGACCTTCAATTTCTTCCATATGATGAACAGATACAGCCTCATTCCGATCCTCATCCTGTTGTTTGAGCCTCACTATCATCTCTGCTTCTGTTTTACGTTCTGCTTCACTCAATGTTCCTTTGATAAGTTTCTCCTTTTTCACAACACAAAAAGCTCGATAGTGGTTCATTAATGTTTTGGGGTAGGCAAAGCCTCTCTGACAATAAAGACAGGTCTGTTTGTGCTTCTTGTGAAAACTTTCATTGACAGTAGACTTCATGACCTTCAAGTCTTTGAACTTTTCTTTGCCATCACATTTGCGTACATGTCGCTCTAAGAGTGAAATGGACTTGAATTTCACCCCACATCCTTTACACTGATGTGTATCGAGCAGTTCTGTCATCTCACGCCGACGTACATGATTTCCAGGATTGTAACCAATTTCGTAACTACGACGACGCTTCATCTTCGTATCATTGGAATTTTCATTGATTGGAACATCAATTAGCTTTCGTTTCCTACAACCCAGGAATATTTTTTTCTGCGCTTTTAATTTTGCAATGTAGTTTCTGCTGAGTTCTTCCAGTTTTTCTCGTTCTTGCTGTTCTGCATCTTGTGTCTCAAGTTCCATCCCAATCAATTTCTTAGGAAATTTTCTCCTTCGTTTCCGTGGCAACTTCTCTTGTGTTTCTGATGATACGGCTGGTTTTGGGGCACAGTTCATGATGTGAATATGTAGCCGATCAATATTTTTGAAACTGCCATTACATCTCGTACAGGTGTAAGTATTACGATCCATCACCTTCTCTAGTGCCTTTCCACACGCGCCCAAGATTCCGACATTGGTTGGCTGTGTGTAATACAGGTACTCTATATCATGGCCATCCTCAATCTCTAGTGTATGACAGGCCACCAAGGGGTGTTTTTTCCACTGATGCCTCAATACAGCCTCATTATCAGCAAAATGTCGCATACACACTGAACAAACATACGCTCGCTTCCCAAAGTTCCCAAATGCTATAGAATCAAAGTTGTGTAATGGACTGCGCTGAGGTGACTGATCTGGGTCCTCTCTGAGTTTGAGCAGACTGCGATAGATACGTTCTGCAGAGATTATCCTGTCATCCTTTGATCCAATGTTGTTGTTTTCTTGCCAGTTCTGCCTTGCCTTAGCCAGGTTTAGACCTTGAATAAGTTGTCTGGCTGAAACAGCACCTCCGTAATGATCAAGATCAAGGTCAGACTCGGAATCGGGCGAGAGTGGAGGATTATAGACACCTGGACTGCTGTAGCCGCTGTTGTTACTGTCATCATTCTGACATAAATTTAAATCATCAGTGTTGTTATTATTACTGTTCATGTCAATGTTACTGTCAGGGGTTATGTTTTCAGTATTGCTGAGTGTCTCATGGCACCAAAGCTCTGCCACATCTGCTCCATTTGATATTTGTAACCCAGGGTTTGTATCCTTGTTAATGCTACCGTCATTTTTATCCTTTTCTGTCAATTCTGATCCATTTGAATTCGCAGATTTCTCAACATTTATCACATCTGTAACTGTTACACAACTGCCATCATTTTGCAAACAATCTTGGTGATTTTCCTTTTCTGGTTTGGAATCTGTTGCTATTTTGTTGGCTCCCTCTTTCTCCACATTAACAGATGGTACATCATGCTCTTTTGGTTCCTCATTATCTGATATGCTCTCCACACCAACATTTTGTTCACTAACATCTTCTGTTTCCACCAATTCTGCTTTTTCTGAACTTCCTGCTTTCATCAATTCTGTTGACTCTGACACAGTAATTTTCGAGTCTGTATCATGCAAACTAGCAGCATCTCCAGGGCAAATGCTTATATCTTCATTTTCTTTTGTCTCCATTGTTTCTTCTTTTGATGAGATTTCAGATGACTTAGAAGATGATTCTCCTTTTGACGAGTTTTCAAGTGACCTAAAATTTGGTTCTCCTTTTGACAAGCTTTCAGATGACCCAAAATTTGGTTCTCCTTTTGACAAGCTTTCAGATGATCCAGAATTTGGTTCTTCTTTAGACAAGCATTCAGATGATCCAGAATTTGGTTCTCCTTTAGACAAGCATTCAGATGATCCAGAATTTGGTTCTTCATCAGACAAGCATTCAGATGATCCAGAATTTGGTTCTCCTTTAGACAAGCATTTAGATGATTCAGAAGTTGGTTCTCCTTTTGACAAGATTTCAGATGATACAGAATTTGGTTCTTCATCAGACAAGCATTCAGATGATCCAGAATTTGGTTCTCCTTTAGACAAGCATTTAGATGATTCAGAAGTTGGTTCTCCTTTTGACAAGATTTCAGATGATACAGAATTTGGGTCTCCTTTTGACATGCTTTCAGATGGTCCAGAATTAGATTCCAAACTATCACTGTTTCTGTGCTGTAGACTTAAATGTATAGAGTCCTCAATGTTTCTTTGTTCAGAATGTTCCTTGACATTATCACACAAATTTTGGTCATGGTTCTCTAGTGCTAAGTCAGTTTTTAATGCATTTGAGCTCATTTTGAGAGGAAGTTTTAATACTGCTTTTGTCACTTCTTCTTTCACATCTGATTTTTTGTTTGCATTTTCCATTTCACCATATTTGTCATCACCTTTGACATCTAATTTATTCTCCATGTTACGATGTTTGTCTTCTCTGTTTTCATCATTTTTCTTGTCATCATTTACTTCAGTTTTGATATCCATTTTTGTTTCATTCTGATGAAGTTCTTTTTGTTGGAAATGTCCAGTTTCAAGTCCATCACGAGAGTTTTCTGCAGAAGATAATCCCTCCCTTGATGTTCTTCGCCGTGTACAGAGAGCTGGAACCTTGTTTTTGTAAGAAGCTTCATCTGTAACCTGTTCGACTTTCCTGTCATTTTCTAAGGGAACTAACTCTGTCACATCCATAAAATCCTCTGTTATAACTTTTGGGTTATAGTTGCGAGGGAAGTTGAATTTTTCCCATTGAAACTCATCTTTAACATCTGTTTTTTCCTGCTCTTCACTTTTCTCATCTTTCACTGTAGTAAAAACCGAGTCATAATCCTTTATTCTGATGTGTTGTCTGAAGTGAGCTATTGAGTCCTCTCCTCCATCAATGTAACTTGTGAGATTCTCAGCAATGTTGGCAGCAACATTTGCATAAAAATTTAAATTAGCTTCAGGGGAATCATCGATTGGATCATTTGCTGTCTCAAAAACAATTGGTTCTTCATCTCTCTTTGGACTACCCATCAGTATCCGTAGCCTTGACAACTGACGTTTTGGCTTCACTGTACTTGGAAATGATGTTTCTGTAATGGTGGATTCACTTGGAATAATTCTGGACAACTTGCCATCATCTTTGTGAGCCAATCGTCTGTGTCGACACAGATTTACATAGGCTGAAAATCTCTTCTTACAAATCAAACAAGAAAATTTAAATTTGGAATCAGATTCGTCTCTAACAGGCACTTTTCCTTCTTTCATTATTTTCATGCGTTGTGCAATTTGAGAAGATGAAGGAGGCTGTTTGTCTTGAAGAGTAGATGTTGGCTCTTTGTTATAACTTTCCTGTAGGGTACGTGCAGCCTTCGATCCAAGTTTCCCTCTTTTTTCCAATAATTTAAGAAGACGTTGACGATGAATGTCAGGATGTTCCAATCGAATATGTTTTCGAAGACTTCCGACATGGACGAAAACAGCTGTGCAGTACTTACACGGAACACGACTACCTAAATGAATGTGCTCATGTTTTTTCATGTTTGTAGCAGAAGGAAAGCCTTTCCCACAGTAGGAACAAATGAAGGAGCGATCCGCTGTAAATAAAAATAAAGATATTTTAAAATGGTAAATATCACTCAGAAAAATCAAACAATTTTCCCTATTCTATACAGTTGATTAATTTTGCAAGCTATATAATTTGAAATTGTCCCAGGTCAGATTTATTCACAGGGAGTAATTAATAAACATAGGCATGTAAGATGTATTGTCTGATATTTTAATTCACTATGAAAATATTGCTAGGTATCAAATTTTATCTTTAAACTAATGCAAACATAATGAAATGAACTTAACTCAAATATAGAGTATTTGGTTTGATTTAGATAAATAAGATATATAGCTTACAGAATGGCATAGACATGTTACATACTACATATCACAATTATATCACTTTGGTTCACAAAAACCTTGCTAGATATCTAAGCTAACAATAACAATGATATATGCATAGTGCCTAGAAAATTTTCTCCTGAATAGATCTATTTATAAATGTTTTACAGTTATTGTTTTGTATTTCTCCACTAACTGTTGTGCAAATTTACAGACAGAAAACCTGTATAACTACACCACATCATCTATACTTCATAACATACAAACTACAGCAGTGATTTTTGGGACTCAAATATTTCTAATAGTCCTAGACTCATGTCTTTCCTGTGGCAATCAGTAATAATTACAACCTATTTCCGAGACATGTGTCTTTCCTGTGGGAATCACAAACAATTACAACCTATTTCCTAGACTCATGTCTTTCCTGTGGGAATCACAAACAATTACAACCTATTTCCTAGACTCATGTCTTTCCTGTGGTAATCACACAAACAATTACAACCTATTTCCTAGACTCATGTCTTTCCTGTGGTAATGACACAAACAATTACAACCTATTTCCTAGACTCATGTCTTTCCTGTGCTAATCACACAAATTATTACAACCTATTTCCTAGATATGTGTCTTTCCTGTGGTAATCACACAAATTATTACAACCTATTTCCTAGACTCATGTCTTTCCTGTGGTAATCACACAAACAATTACAACCTATTTCCTAGACTCATGTCTTTCCTGTGGTAATGACACAAACAATTACAACCTATTTCCTAGACTCATGTCTTTCCTGTGCTAATCACACAAATTATTACAACCTATTTCCTAGATATGTGTCTTTCCTGTGGTAATGACACAAACAATTACAACCTATTTCCTAGACTCATGTCTTTCCTGTGGTAATGACACAAACAATTACAACCTATTTCCTAGACTCATGTCTTTCCTGTGGTAATGACACAAACAATTACAACCTATTTCCTAGACTCATGTCTTTCCTGTGCTAATCACACAAATTATTACAACCTATTTCCTAGATATGTGTCTTTCCTGTGGTAATGACACAAACAATTACAACCTATTTCCTAGACTCATGTCTTTCCTGTGGTAATCACACAAACAATTACAACCTATTTCCTAGACTCATGTCTTTCCTGTGCTAATCACACAAACAATTACAACCTATTTCCTAGACTCATGTCTTTCCTGGGGTAATGACACAAACAATTACAACCTATTTCCTAGATATGTGTCTTTCCTGTGGTAATGACACAAACAATTACAACCTATTTCCTAGACTCATGTCTTTCCTGTGGGAATCACAAACAATTACAACCTATTTCCTAGACTCATGTCTTTCCTGTGGTAATGACACAAACAATTACAACCTATTTCCTAGATATGTGTCTTTCCTGTGGTAATCACACAAACAATTACAACCTATTTCCTAGATATGTGTCTTTCCTGTGGTAATGACACAAACAATTACAACCTATTTCCTAGACTCATGTCTTTCCTGTGGTAATCACACAAATTATTACAACCTATTTCCTAGACTCATGTCTTTCCTGTGGTAATCACACAAACAATTACAACCTATTTCCTAGACTCATGTCTTTCCTGTGGTAATCACACAAATTATTACAACCTATTTCCTAGATATGTGTCTTTCCTGTGGTAATGACACAAACAATTACAACCTATTTCCTAGACTCATGTCTTTCCTGTGGTAATGACACAAACAATTACAACCTATTTCCTAGACTCATGTCTTTCATGTGGTAATCACACAAATTATTACAACCTATTTCCTAGACTCATGTCTTTCCTGGGGTAATCACACAAACAATTACAACCTATTTCCTAGACTCATGTCTTTCCTGTGGTAATCACACAAACAATTACAACCTATTTCCTAGACTCCTGTCTTTCCTGTGGTAATGACACAAATTATTACAACCTATTTCCTAGATATGTGTCTTTCCTGGGGTAATCACACAAACAATTACAACCTATTTCCTAGACTCATGTCTTTCCTGTGGTAATCACACAAACAATTACAACCTATTTCCTAGACTCGTGTCTTTCCTGTGGTAATGACACAAATTATTACAACCTATTTCCTAGATATGTGTCTTTCCTGTGGGAATCACACAAATTATTACAACCTATTTCCTAAAAAAAAAAAAAAGAGGTAAAGATGTTATGTAATTTACAAATCAACACAAAAGATAAAGTAGATATACTACACACATTCTTATTTTATATGTGAAATCCACAATATCTGAAGCACCAATTCCGATAAATTCATCAAATTAAGAGAAAAAGTATAGGATGTACAACTAACCAAAATGCAAGGCTTCATGGCGCTCCAAGTTTGTGGTGTACTTGAACTTCATGGGACATCGAGGACATTTAAAAGGTTTCCCAACCACTGGCACTTTCTTCTCTCCATGCTTTTGCTTCGTCTTCACTGGCATAGTTGATAAAGACTTTACTGGCCTGTCAGCTTCACCTTTGTGAACCATCTGGTGACGTACCAGGTTTTGTTTATATGTAAATCGCATATGACACTTGTCACAAGAAAAACCTTTTTCATCCGGAACCTTTGGATGGTCTTGTGTGTGCAGTTTCAGGGCTTTTACATCATCAAATAGTTTATAACATACATTACATTTGTAAAGTCCCACCATAGCTGGTAAAGGTTGAGCAACAGTGGTTTGCATTTCCTCATCTGGAGATTCCTCTGTAGAATTTTCTTTTTTAATTTTGATTTGCATGTTTTGCTCAGCTGACTGCTCATCCTGACAACTTTGCGAATTCTGTTCTGAAGGGTCAGTCACTGATTGAAGCACAGAATCAGTTGTTGTATTGCTGTTGTTGCTAACCTCCATTTCTTCTTCCTTAGAATCAATCGCTGTCTCTCCTTGGTTGGAATTTTGTGATTCAGTCTCACATTCTTTCTTCAATTTAAGTTCATTCTCATTACAAGTCTTGGACATTGTTTCATCAATTTTTTGAAGTACATCTTTCCCATTTGATTTGAGAATTGCCAGTTGCTGTTGACCAATCAGAATCATACAGTTTGTGATGTCAGCGCGACTGAGGTAGCGACAGTTTATATGGTTACGGAGGTAGTGTCGCTTTAGACTGAATGTATGCTTATAGACCCCAGCACAGACATCACACCTATAGGCACGTCGTCCATTCTGTGTAATGCCAAAGTGTGAATGAAGTGAAAACTGGTATTCAAGATGTTTACCAGGATACTTCCAAGATTTTTCCAAGCTTTCAACTGTGTTTCCTTCCACCTCCTCAAGATTTTCCAGAACTGGAGAAGTTTTCATCGGACTATCTTCCCGAACTCCATGTTCATCATTGTTCACTTGAAACTCTTCAGGAATTTCTTCCTTGCCTATTGTATCAGATTTCTTTTTTCTTCCACGTTTACGTTTCCCTTTGCTTTGAGCATTTAATGCAGCCTCAATTGCATCTCTCTCTATCTCTTCCTTGCTTCGCCGACGTCTTTTCTTCTTGAAAACTAAGTCTGTCAGAAGTATTTCCTCATCAAACAATTTTTTCTTCTTCCGTTGTCTCTTTGTGTCCAGAATCTCTATAGGGGAATCTATGTAGTTCCCTGTAGATGCTGTTGGGATCATGGATACCAGTTCTGTTGCTGCCATGGCAGATGCTTCGGAGGCTGGCTCTGTTAATACTGATGCTTCCTTCACGACTTTTGATGATAATTTTTTACTAGAGGGTTCCGTTTCCATAGCACAAGATTTAACCTTGGAGGGAGTTTTGACCTTGGGTTGAGATTTAGCTTTAACTTGAACAGCAGCATCTGAAAAATATGAATAAAAATGAAGTTAATAGAACAAATTTAAACTCTTGCATAAAAAATAAATCTGATTCATACTTTAAATGATTTATTCAACACACTAGTGAATTCTAAAATAATCAGCTTTTATGCTACTTCATTTTTACATCACTAAGTAGTGTTTCTGGGAGAAAAAAATTTACTCCAATCAAGATGGACGAACATAAGCCTGAAACAAGTCAAATGATTTCACATTAAATGGAGTAAAGAAGCCCATTTTAAAAACAAAATAAGAAGAGTCTCACAGAGATATGCCCATCAACAGATGCCCATTAGAAATGGTTTCCAGAGAGGTGAGATGTGACCTTGGACTCTATATCCTTAATAAAAACGCCTAATCTAAAGTCCTAATCTAGTGAAGAACTTGATGTTCTGATGCTTGGTTGTTGATGTATCTAATACTAAATTGTTATATTTTACAAGTGAAAAGTTTGACTTTTATATTAAATAATTAAACCACAAAATCTTATCTTAATGGAGAACTTGATGCTTTTTTACTCAGATGTATGAGCTGAAAAAATTGTTTCATGTTTTTGCATTGAATGGAGAGTTGCAGAAACTGTCAATACAGGTCCACAAAGAAATTACTGAATACCTCACTCGTTACTTGGCTGCACTCAGGTATAATGAATGTGACATAGGTCATATTTCATCTCAATGCCTCCGCTAGGAATCAAACCCAGGACCCCTGGCTTACTAGTTTGACGCTCCACCAATCAAGCTAAAGAGAAGTTCTCTCTAGCTGAGTGGTATATTACGGCTATACAGTATACAGTTAATTACCTGGTAATTTACCTTCCACAGTCGCGGTCTTCCTGCGCCTTCGTCGTTTCTTGAACGGTTGGAACCAAGTCAGCAGCTCTTTTTGTGGATCTACATCCTGTAAGAGAATTCAGAGATAAAATTCTATCAAGTCTTCCTGGTACATTGCCACAAGGGAGATTATTCACTCAAACTAAGAATTTGGAATTGAAAATATTGCATGCTTCTTTATAAAATGCATTGAGAAAAAGAATCTATTACCCCAAAGTGTGTTCATATTGACTTTATATATGAATAATGTAAAAGAGATAAAACAGAATAATTATATATATCTAGGAATTGTCTAAGACATGTGATCTCCAACCCCTTAGATTTAACCAAAAGTCACCTTAATATGACAAACTGTTAAACTTAATGCTATCATACTGCTGAGTAAGTATAATGAGCAAATATGATGAAAGGTTCTAATATGTAATACTGATCTAGGATCAGATAGAATGAGGTGAGATATGACACAATATGACAGAATTGGACATTTTGTTCATTTGTTGGCTTAAATATTTGTCGTCACATGAACAGCTAGGGTAAATTTGACATGGGTTTCCTTGAAGTAGCTGGTGACTACATCTTAGAACAACATATGGGAGGCCCATTGCAGAGCAACTAGGTTAATTTTCTTGCTTATGGACAAAAGCCCAATAGCACAGACCAGCCCATAGTAATTGAGCTATCGCTGTCCGTGAGGGATGGGATAGACAGACAAGAGTAACACTGTATACCCCCATCCATAAAATGGCAGGAGCATTTAAAATCACATCAGTTTTTGAGATGTACCTGAATTGCCTTGTAGAAGACTTCGCCATTATCCTGAACCGACACAATATTCTGTTCCTCCAGGAAGCGGGCGCAGTTAACATAACGCATCCAGTTTCCCTTCATAGGGTCCGTGGCATTTATAATATGGGATAATTCATTCTTCTCAAGGTCAAATACCTGCAAAGTCACAATGCTAAGTAAGTGAGCGAACAAAAACGAAAAGTGCTAAAAAGCAGAAAAATATATGCCAGAGAAATCAATGTCAAGCAGATCAACTTCAAATAAAATTGAAAAGGAGGAATAATTACAAAGTTCATCTAGAAATTTCAGAATAATAGCAAGTATTTTAGTATTCTGGTATAATCTGAAGGAATTTAAATAATTTTTCCAAGCATATCACTTGGACTTAAAACCTGGTTCTTCAACTGGATGGCATCTACCATATATATGGGGGGCCACAATGAACAAAATTACTATTCAATAAGGAAATCCAAGCTGACCATAACATTTATTTAATCACACTTTACTCATCCAAAAAATAATTATTTATGTACCTCCCAAGCGAATCTGTAATCAATGTTTTTATTTTTGTATTTGTTAACAATCTCTCCGACGAATGGGCCAAATATTGTTCCCTTGGCAATGGGTGTCACGCACCAAGCACCTGTACAAAATAAAACAGAAAGGTTTGTTTATAAGCAATCTATTTGTTTTTTTACTTTCAAGTCCAATATATTATCTGTACAGAAATACAGCTCCATCACATTGTAGTTTTGCAGAATTGTATCTATTTCTTCATGATATATTATTAGAATCTCAGCAACCAATCAATTCTTCATGGATTTTTTTCTCTCTAAACTTTCATCTCCTTGATTTTTCAAATCTTTTCTAAATCTAGTAAAATATTCATTATTCATAACATTTTCCTTTCAAGGTAAAATGTAGTTGCTTTTATTCTGTCTTCAATTTTCATATTCAAATAGTGGTGGTAATTTCTCTGAATAATTAAGTAGACTCTCTTTATTTCAGTAGATTTACAATTTATCTACATTTTCAAAATTTAAACATTTGATAATGAAGACAAAATATATTCAAATAAATTTCATTAAAACAACCACTAGTTCTAAACTTTAATTTGTTACCTATTTGAGAAGTATCGACCTCAGATCTCCTAAGTTCTATCCCATCTGGAGCAACAATATGACTTGGAATCTCCATAGCGACAAGTTACCCTGGTAACGATGTTCTAGTTGCCACTGGTAACAAATGTCCCTTTCAACACTGTAAAGACTGGTAATGGAGACAGCTATGTCATTTTGACCTGGAACAGAAGAAACATTGAAAACTGATAGACTCTTGTTTAATTATTGACATTGTTCAGGTAATTTGGATAATTTGTAGGCAACAAGTAAAAAGCTTAAGGGTGTATGCAACCTTTCATTTGAATTTGTAAAGCAGAGACTTTAGGATGTATGCTTATTAATATAAACTTCCTGAACAGTTCAGTAAGAGTTCAACTCTTATATAACCTGTCAAATAGTTTTGCCATATAAAAGGTAATTTAGATGACCATACCATTGAAGATATATATTGCACAAAAATAGTCATAGTGAACTCCATTTCATTATATGGATCAGAATTACTCATTATATGGATCAGAATTACTCATTATATGGATCAGAATTATATGGATCAGAATTACTCATTATATGGATCAGAATTACTCATTATATGGATCAGAATTACTCATTATATGGATCAGAATTATATGAATCAGAATTACTCATTATATGGATCAGAATTACTCATTATATGGATCAGAATTACTCATTATATGGATCAGAATTACTGATTATATGGATCAGTATTACTCATTATATGGATCAGAATTATATGGATCAGAATTACTCATTATATGGATCAGAATTACTCATTATATGGATCAAAATTACTCATTATATGGATCAGTATTACTCATTATATGGATCAGAATTATATGGATCAGAACTACTCATTATATGGATCAGAATTACTCATTATATGGATCAGAATTACTCATTATATGGATCAGAATTATATGGATCAGAATTACTCATTATATGGATCAGAATTACTCATTATATGGATCAGAATTACATTATATGGATCAGAATTACTGATTATATGGATCAGAATTATATGGATCAGAATTACTCATTATATGGATCAGAATTACTCATTATATGGATCAGAATTACTCATTATATGGATCAGAATTATATGGATCAGAATTACTCATTATATGGATCAGAATTATATGGATCAGAATTACTCATTATATGGATCAGAATTATATGGATCAGAATTACTCATTATATGGATCAGAATTACTGATTATATGGATCAGTATTACTCATTATATGGATCAGAATTATATGGATCAGAATTACTCATTATATATCAGAATTACTGATTATAGAGTATTACTCATTATATGGATCAGAATTATATGGATCAGAATTACTCATTATATGGATCAGAATTACTCATTATATGGATCAGTATTACTCATTATATGGATCAGAATTACTCATTATATGGATCAGAATTACATTATATGGATCAGAATTACTGGATCAGAATAACTTAAGTTTGAAATGCCAGATGGAATTCAATGATTTAACTTTTAAAAATGGCACACTTTTTCACACTACCAGACAGTTTATTTCTAATCTATCAAATACAGCCTTACTGTTATCAACTTGAATACACAATGAGAGATCTTTTAAATACCATAACTTCATACTTTTTCAGCAAATTGACTTTTCATGAATCCACTACTATACTTATAACATCAAGCTATTTTGATAGTAAGTCACACGGAAGCTAAACCCTCACAAGCTGTGTAGCTACATTTCGCTGTGTACTGCCTAAGGTAAAACCTGGCTGATTTTGTGATACTTCTCGACATGACATCACACCTACAACAGGTAACTTGCACATGATACACTGGTCAGTTCATAAGCTTTCCCCGAGGCCATCACAATGTATCACCACATGTCCCATCTCCTAATGTATTTACAAACAGGAAAAAACAACAGGGACGTCAATCTTACCCCAAATCAACCTGTTTAGATAACAACCTAAAAACATTACAACAAAGATATTTTCATCAACTTCCCCTTCCTCTTTTATTATCATATTTTGATGATGAGAATTTTTATTTTACATTTCAATCATTGTATGAACAAGTTAAGTGAGCTCCTCTTTAACTGTTAGGGTGAGAATTGTGGATTTTTAAGAGACATTAAAACCTGCATCTTGTGTATTGTAGTAAGTATACATGACTATATATAGAAATCAACACGGTGGTATTGTAGCAATGCCAAGTATTTTCCATCCAGCGTCATCAATCATATTGCAAATATATGATCGATACATCAGAACAATACTATCGGTATAGGGTAAGAGTTTGTAAGATTTCTCAATAGACAAATCAAGTATATATATTACACATACTGCCATCCCTCGCCCACAAGTATCATTGTCTGGTGCATGCAGACAGTTTAAAACATAATTTCAGACGGACAACAGTATTAATATTGTTGGGGATCAAATCTGCCTTTACTCATCCACAGGTTTCATTGTCTGGTGCAGGCAGGCAGTTTAAAACATGATATTTCAGACTTACAACAGTACTAATAGCTACAGTCGTAGTGGTGAGGATAAAATCTGCCATCATGATCACTCGCAGCCATAAGAAACATAATTTCTGACTGACAACTGTACTTTAGTGTGAGTGTTTAGGGATCGAATATTCTGGTGTGTGTACACACCAAGTCATTTTATCAGTCAGGCTAAGACCATATATTTCCAGTTGACATTTAACTGACACTAGGGTAATAATAACACTCAATTGCTTATTGTGTATCTTATTCATCAATTTAGTTTGTCCAGGGTTATACATTCTGAATCTCATATAAACATCATCTAAATATGGATGATGGGGAAGTCAGGGGTTATCTTACACTTCCATCAATATACTGATGTCATGAATTACATGGTAGCCAGACGGCTGAAACACATGTACATACTTACAACAGCTAACTACTTCACAATAGGACCATGTCCATGTATAGTAGAATTTTACAGGTTTAAGTTAGATGGGGGAGGGGTGGATGGTGGTTTGATAACTGAACATTTCAAACACAAAATCAGCACATGCATGGTTTATTAACAAAGGACAATAAGATAACATTGGAACTTGTTACCATAGCAACATGTGTTACTTTCAACAGGTTGAACTGAGTCACAAAAATTATGATTCTCTTCCTTTCTACCTGCATGAATTGCTCTTAGAGAAAGCATTACTATGTTTGTCGTTCTTCGCATCTTCAAAAATTTACAACTCAATGTCACCAGTGGAACTGAAGAAAAAATCTAAGACATATTTTTTAAATGGCGTTCATTGCAGCCATATTGGACTTAAGGCACATTTGACACAAATCTCCCAGATGGAGCTAAGAAGTTCTGGATAGGCCGAAAAACTATTACATTTTGTCATCTTCCTTTCCTTAACATCCTGCAAATGTTCAGCTCAAGGTGTACCAGAATTTGAGAAAATGTGTTTTACAAGTATTGGATTTCAGATTGGTCCAAAACATAAATGGTCAAGACCATCTCAGGAAGATTTCAGGCAAATGACTGATTCATACCTGTACAAATTTGGGATCAACCTGAGGACGCTACTCTATTGAATCCTATACAAATCTACCCGAGGACACTACTCTATTGAATCCTATACAGATCCACCCAAGGACACTACTCTATTTAATCCTATACAGATTCACCTGAGGACACTACTCTATTTGATCCTATACAGATCCACCTGAGGACACTACTCTATTTAATCCTATACAGATCCACCTGAGGACACTACTCTATTTAATCCTACACAGATCCACCTGAGGACACTACTCTATTTAATCCTATACAGATCCACCTGAGGACACTACTCTATTTAATCCTATACAGATCCACCTGAGGACACCACTCTATTTAATCCTATACAGATCCACCTGAGGACACTACTCTATTTAATCCTATACAGATCCACCTGAGGACACTGCTCTACTGAATCCTATACAGATCCACCTGTGGACACTACACTATTTAATCCTACACAGATCCACCTGAGGACACTACTCTATTTAATCCTATACAGATCCACCTGAGGACACTACTCTATTTAATCCTATACAGATCCACCTGAGGACACTACTCTATTTAATCCTATACAGATCCACCTGAGGACACTACTCTATTTAATCCTATACAGATCCACCAGCGGACACTACTCTACTGAATCCTATACAGATCTAACCAAGGACACTGCTCTATTTAATCCTATACAGATCCACCCGAGGACACTACTCTATTTAATCCTATACAGATCCACCTGAGGACACTACTCTATTTAATCCTATACAGATCCACCTGAGGACACTACTCTATTTAATCCTATACAGATCCACCCAAGGACACTACTCTATTTAATCCTACACAGATCTACCCGAGGACACTACTCTATTCAATCCTACACAGATCCACCTGAGGACACTACTCTATTTAATCCTATACAGATCCACCCAAGGACACCACTCTATTTAATCCTATACAGATCTAACCAAGGACACTACTCTATTTAATCCTATACAGATCCACCTGAGGACACTACTCTATTTAATCCTATACAGATCCACCTGAGGACACTACTCTATTTAATCCTATACAGATCCACCTGAGGACACTACTCTATTTAATCCTATACAGATCCACCTGAGGACACTACTCTATTTAATCCTATACAGATCTAACCAAGGACACTACTCTATTTAATCCTATACAGATCCACCTGAGGACACTACTCTATTTAATCCTATACAGATCCACCTGAGGACACTACTCTATTTAATCCTATACAGATCCACCTGAGGACACTACTCTATTTAATCCTATACAGATCCACCCAAGGACACTACTCTATTTAATCCTATACAGATCCACCTGAGGACACTACTCTATTTAATCCTATACAGATCCACCTGAGGACACTACTCTATTTCTATTTAATCCTATACAGATCCACCTGAGGACACTACTCTATTTAATCCTATACAGATACCAGATCTATTTAATCCCTGAGGACACTACTCTATTTAATCCTATACAGATCCACC